TATATTTGTGGAAGACCAATCTAACTTAAGCGACAGAACTATGTCATTCTCTTTGGTGGATTCCAAGACACATCCCAGCAGACCAAGTATCTGCAGGACCTGTGGATCTATGACTGCTCGAAGTATACCTGGTTCAATCCCGCTTTGACGACGGCCTCCCAGAAGCCCGATCCTCGATCCTCGTTCTCATTCTTGCCTCATGAGACTGGTGCCGTCATCTACGGTGGCTACTCACGAGTCAAGGCTGCCGCCGGTGGTGCGGGCGGCAAGCAAGGCAAAGGTGGCCCTCAGAAAATGACCCTCCGACCCATGGTCCACCAAGATACTTGGTTCCTGAGGATCACACCCCCTGAATCTGAATCAGCTGCATCCTCGACAGGCCCGACTATCCGCTGGGAGCGGAGAAAGAAGCCTGCGAATACGCCTAATCCACCGCGTGTGGGTACCACGATGGCCTACCACAAGGGTCGTGGTATTATGTTTGGTGGCGTTCACGACGTTGAGCTGACCGAGGAGGGCATCGACAGCGAGTTCTTTGACACGCTTTTTGCTTGGACTACGGACCGAAACCGTTTCTTCCCATTGTCTCTCCGTCGCCCACGTGCTGCGGGGAAGAAGCAGCAAGCGAACCAAGCGAACAAGTCTCGTAATCGTGGCAAAGCAGACGAAGAAGAGCTCTTGCAGAATCTCAAGGCATTGGAAGCGAAACAAGGGCTCCGCGACGAGGATGACGACGATGATTTCATGCAATTGAGCACACCGAAGGCTGAGGAGGAACCCGTCGAGCCCGCTAAACCTGCAGTTATTCGATTCGAGATGCCACACAGGCGATTCAATGCTCAGCTTGCGGTGCAGGATGATACCCTCTTCATTTACGGCGGAACCTTTGAAAAGGGCGACCGCGAGTTTACATTCAATGATATGTACTCGATTGATCTAGTCAAGCTGGATGGCGTGAAAGAGCTTTTCTACGTTGAGCCTGAGAACTGGAATCTTTTGGACGAGGCAGACAGTGATGAGGATATGGATGATGAGGAGGAGGACGAAGAGGACGAAGAGATGGACGAGGAGGGAGCGGATGCTATGTCTTTGGATACTTCTTCGCCCGGGCCCACTGACGTGACTGTGCCCTCCGTTACTCAGGGCATGGAGCAACTGGACGTCGAGGAGCAAGAATCGGATCAACCCGCTGATACTCGTCCCCAGCCTCGCCCCTTCGAGAGCTTGCGAGAGTTCTTCAGTCGAACCTCTGAAGACTGGCAAAATATCCTTCTGGAGGCTTTGAGGTGGAAGGGCCAGGCTGAGGACAAGACAGTCAAGGAGTTGCGCAAGGGAGCATTCGACATGGCGGAAGAGAAATGGTGGGATAGCCGCGAAGAGATTATGGCCTTGGAGGATGAACAGGAAGCTGCGGGCATTGGAGAGGTTGTTAATATGAACGACCGCGTCGAGAACGTGGGCGGAGCAGGTCGTCGCCGTTGAGAACCCGATGGCTGTAGGTTCCGGTAAAAAGAAAATAAGTTTTTGTTGTTTCATATGAGATTAGATTATATCGGCTAGTTGATGATGAAGATGCTGATACATATATTTCAACCCCCCATATCTGTGCTTCGCCCCTAGTGTTGAGCTACCTCGGCCAAAACTCCAGTCACCAGTTTCAGATCTCTTTCGACATCAACTCTCCAATTTGAGATGGCGATTCGAGTAGCGGGGGCGCCGTCCCAGCTGGTCCCAGACACGAACATCCTCGAAGTATCATTGATCTTCTTTGACAGTTCACGATTCAAGTTGTCATCCTTGGCGCGGAATAAAACACTCATAAAGGTCTGGTCGAGAAGATCTGACTTGGAGGGAGTCACCGGTAAAGGTGTATATTCCGGGTGATCGTAGATCCAGTCATAAATCCCTCGGGCAAGTCGAATCTGGCGTTGGAGCATGTCTTTATATCCATCCTTCCCGTAGGAGAGCAGAGATGCATAAACTGGCAAGGCCCTAAAACGGCGAGAATTCTCAAGTCCGATATTCAAAGGAGATGGAATTGATGGCCCATCCGAGGGCCCTGCCGTTAAATAGGCAGCGTTGGCATTCTGGAAGACATCAACAGCGAGGTCAGGGTGTCGACAGAAGAAAAAACCGCAGTCGTAGGGCACATTGAGAAGTTTATGGGCGTCTCCAGTAATCGAATCTACCAGATCAATTCCTTCGCTTCCTTGCCTCACTGTTGCGAATTCCGGGTCATCATCCAAGATGCGAGCGAAAATCCCAAAGGCACTGTCCGCATGAAGCCACGCCCCGTACTTATCACATAGCTGGCGAATCTGCAATAGATGCTCCTTCGTAGTTGCAAAGCGGCCAGTGTTGACTTCTCCTGAGGAGACAGCCACAATACTGACTCTGTCAGTTCTTGCTAATTCCTTCTCCAACTGTTCGAGATCGAAATGAAGCGGGTTGTCGGCACGGCAGACGTTGCGGACGTTAGCACGGCCAATGCCCAGCACACCGGCCGCTTTCACCAGCGATGAATGAGGCAACGTCGATAGTACCTGGACCCCAGAAAGTCCCAGAGCATTCAATACTTCGAATAGGCCGAACTCTCCAACACTGTTCACCGGTACTCCCTTTCTCTCCGCCGCTTTACGAAGAACATATTCACGGCCACAAGCCAGGCCGAGAATGTTGCTTCCGGTTGCCCCCGTGGTGAAGGTGCCATTGTGCCAGACGGAGCGATCTAATCTGAAAAGATCGGCGAGAAGACCTAGCGCTCTGAACTCGACGTCTGTGACGATGGAGTGATTGGGAATATGCACTTGAACGTTTTGGTCGTAGGCAGAAACCACGTTGTCGGCGAAGAGTGCAGCCGGGGTGGTTCCACCGGTGATGAAGCCGTAGTAATTAGGACTGATACTGCCTCCATTGAAAGCCGGGACAATATCATCCAGAATGTGCCGCTGAACGGCTTCAAGGCTGGTACCGCTGTCCGGCAGTGTGGTAGGAAGAGATGCCCGCGCGCGAGCTAAGCTCTCTGCGCTTGGGAGGACACCAGACTCCCATTTCCCCTGGGCGACTTTCCACAGGTCCTGTAGGATTTGTTCTTGCATTGATGATGAGAATTCGAGATGTAGGTAGATTTGACGGGGATTGATGGGGACTAGATCTCTCTATATAGTCCGGTCGGGGTTTGGTTTTGGCAGTTCGGGGTATGAAGACTCCGGTTAGACTATCGTGTAGCAGGAGTGGTTGAGATGAATTTGATCTTATCTGCCTAGAGGATGAGAGGCTTCCGAATTGATTGGTCAATTGCGGGGCTAAGCACGTCGTCAATGGAGTCGCGGGATGATTTAAGTGCCGGGGCGAGGCTGTGGAGGGAGAAGAGTCAATTTGGGGGAATCTGCCCGAATCTGGCAACATTCAGTGGAACGGGGCCTTTCCTCTCAGCTTCTCCGCAGTCGATCCACTCCCTCTTCTCGACATTTTAGACCTCAACCACTTCTTACATGGAAGCAACTCTGTCTGAAATGGCTGCGAAATTGATCGATCGACGTTTCCATAATGTGCCTGGTATGTACATAGCTCATTCGTACTTCTGGATGCGAAAGTCCGGAGCAGTATTGACAACCCTCCAGGAAAACTTCGCGTGGCCGAGCTGTTCTTTGATGTGCCTTTGGACTACAGTAAGCCCAGCGATGGCACTCTGAGACTCTTTGCCCGAAGCGTCTCTCGTTTAAATAAGCCGGTTGAGCCCACTAAAGAGGAGTCCAAACTACCGTGGCTCGTCTACCTTCAGGGGGGACCGGGTTTTGGATGTGCTGCCCCGCAAAATTACGGCTTTGTTGAGCCAGCCCTGAGCAAAGGCTATCAAGTACGAAACCATCGATAAGATCTTTGAAGGTCTTCCGTCGTTCGTGTCAGTCAGAGGTTCGTTTTTACTAATTCACAAGACAGATTCTCTTCCTGGACCAGCGTGGTACGGGTCTTAGCTCTACCCTCACGGCGGGGACCCTAGCTCGTCAAGGGGATGCAATCAAGCAAGCCGAGTACCTCAAGAAGTTCCGTGCTGACAACATTGTCCGTGACTGTGAGGCTATCCGGAAGTTCTTGACGCTAGAGTACCCCGAGGGTCAGCGCGCATGGAGTATTATCGGCCAAAGCTTCGGCGGCTTCTGCGCTGCCACCTACCTCTCCAAATTGTGTGTATCTTTCGCTCTATGATCTACAGTGATATACTGACTTCTTTTGCTCGATACAAGCCCCGAGGGCCTAAGAGAAGCTTTCATTTGCGGTGGACTGCCACCTCTTGTTGACAACCCAGACCCCGTCTACGCACGAACTTATGGTATGTTGGCTTTGAACGGAAACAAGACCAATCTTGATGCTGACACATCAACAGAGAAGGTCCTGGAGAGGAACGAGGCATACTATGCCAAGTTTCCGGAGGATGTTGAGCGCGTTCGGGAAATCATGCGGTACCTGGCGACAAACCAGGTTGCCTTGCCTTCGGGCTGGCTGACCCCAGCCCGTTTTCAGCAGCTTGGAATCATGTTTGGCTTCCACGGTTAGTAAACCCTCGGCAACAAACTGTAGATGTTTGGTCTAATTATAAACCAGGTGGTCTCAATTCTCTGCATGGTATGATTATTTCTCCCTGAACACCTTTAACTACGAGGATCTTACTCATCTGGACCCTTAGAAATTGTTCTACGAGTGTGGAACGACTTAGAGATCTTTGGCTCTCTAACAGGCCCAACTCTTGCTATCGTTGACAGCAATGGGGGTATGGACAAAAATATCATCTATGCGATCTTGCACGAGGTCATCTATTGCCAAGGGTAAGAGATGCCTGTTTTGAGAAACCTTCAAATGGAAAACAATAGCTAATTTTCGACTCCAGAAAACCCTCCCTTTGGGCAGCAGATAGACGACGAGGTGAACACCCTGAATTCCAAATATCTGACTCACAACCTAGGATTTACTTCACCGGCGAGATGGTAAGAGCCCCCACTGTTATCGCGTAGCCGTCATGACATGGAGCCACAACTAACCCATCTCATATATAGGTCTTCAAAGACATGTTCGAGTCGTACACGGAACTCAGACAGATCCAACAGGTTGCCGATATTCTCGCTGACACCAGCGATTGGCCAGCCCTCTATGACGAGGCCCAACTGGCCAAGAACGAGATTCCTGTCTATGCTGCTACTTACATCGACGACATGTACGTGCATTTCGACCTGGCTTCCAATACTGCGGCCAAAATCAAGGGCACGAAGCAGTTTGTCACCAACACCATGTACCACGATGCTTTGCGTAGCAAGTCGGGCGAAGTGATGCGTCAACTCTTCAACCTTCGGGATGACTCTATTGATTGAGGAATGAGGTGTCGGCGACGGAGCCACCGAGCTTCTCAGCTTGATGTGCTCGGCCACGAGCGCCTATACTATGTTCTTTGCGGCATTCTCGTTGAACAGATGAAACCAAGAGGGGTAGCAGCAGCGAGACTAGACATACAGAACAGCACACGAATTCAATGATAGTCTTAGCAACAGGCATGGTTACGAGAAGCTAGAAGTATTATGTACAGCACCTCACAATCTAATAAAGCTAGAGGCTAGCGAAATGAAGCATTTGACGGTCCGGGTTCGGGTTGGGTCCCATAAACGCCACGAAAATGCTCTCCAAAGGGCCTGTCCAACATGTGAAGTTTTGCGCATAGTGGTCAAGTTTTAGAACCCCTAGTGTATGTACAAAGCGCTCTTCATCGGACTCATTCCAGCCTAGCAAGGCTTGGGAGTTCGAGGCTTAAAAGACCTATTGTTTCAGTTAGTTGCTTGGACTTATTACGGTAAGTGAGAAGTACGTACGGCACCCCCAATGATGAATAGCCTTTCCTCCTCTTGCTGTACCCACTGGGCAATTTTACTGGCGCTCTGCACTAATGCATTTCGATTGGCATTGGGCTCAGCGACACAGTATAGCTCGAAAATCGGGGTCACCCATGCAAATGAGCTCGCGGATCGTGATACACAGTGGTGCACCTTGACATGACTATTCTTGGCATGGATACTGGAGTGAATGTTGTTGTATACAGACATTAACCTGCATATGAATGTTAGATCCTCAAGCCAGTTAGAGATGGTGAAGATAAATTCTAACCTTCGCCTGCGAGAAATTGAAGTGAATTCAGGAAAATAGGATGACATGGTAAATTGGACGTTCGCTCGTGACTTGTATATGAAATGGTGTAGTACTGTTCCCGGGACAATGTCGGTAGTAGCTGGGCGACCCTGATCAATTGCCGCACCGATCATCTTCAGACTGCCATTCTTCTCCATTTGCTTTAGGATGAGGCGAGTCAGTTAGTGTTCACTGCCTCGTATCTTCGGTGGATACTCTACTTACCTCCACGAGTGAGTCGCGCATTCCTTGCATCTCGAAGAAGCTTTCCTTGTCAGGGCTAATAAGAACTATAGCAACCGACTCGTCCTTCGAAATGCCCTCATTGTCGTCCACATTGCCTCGAAGGTTGAGGAAGCTGACATACATGTATAGGTAGCCGCTGCTGTTGAAGCCAGGTAGACAAACCGGGATCCAGCTTTCGCCGCCTCCTGCTTTGATGCCATCGGCCTCAAATATCATATTGAAGAGAAGTTGCAGATCACCTGGGTGAAGAGAATGTTTCTTCGGCCGCACAACACTTACAAGCCGCCCACCAGCAACAACCAGTCCGTAGAGCAGGTTGCTAACTTTCGTCTTTAAAAGCGCATTGTTGATAGACTGACGATGTACTTTGCGTAGCTTAAGACACTCCAGGGCAGACAAGAGTGTAGATGGTGATCCACGGGTGAAGCTGTCTGCTAACGAGGACAAAAGCGTTTCTGATCCCTGCAATGGCCGTTTCAAATCGGTGGACGGCCGGACAGAAAACAAGTGAGTGAGAGACGGAAGTGTCAACGTAGATAGAATTTGCATGTACAAAGCTTCTAGCTGGAGTCGAAGCTGATTATCACTCTCCATCATGCGGCTGATAGCGACAAGATGCAGCGGCCCTCGCGTCACAATGATAAACTTGGTATCACCGGCCGTAAAGCTCCGAAGTTGATCGCCGGATTCTTCATAGAACGATATGATGGTCTGGACAACTCCGACGTAGGTTGAGATCAATCCTCCGTCGCCGTGCCGTGTCCAAATTGGCTTACCAGCGGCAGAAAGAATCATATAGTGTTTATGCTTGCTCTTCCACCGCTGAAGAAGCATGTCTTCGTTGCCAGCATCTTCATTCAGTTCACCCACTGGCTCAAACTCGCTCATAAAGTCATCGTCATCGACATCATCGGCGGGAAACTCGGGAAAATGAAGTAAGCTTGCGCCATCCGGATGACCACCGGGTGCTGTGGCCACGAAGTCCTTGAAAAGGGCTTCGACGTCGCCCGCGTCACTTGTTTGGATCGAGCTCCGAATGCTGGCCGAATCGCCCGCCTCGCTACCTTTCGGACTCGCCAAGTGGCTAAGGCTAGCTCTTGCCTTTAGCCCTCCAGAGAGACCGCGCACTGCCAGCGTTGAATAGGCACTGCCACCGGCTTCAGGTGTCAGGGTACCAATCTCCGCTCTAGAAACAGCCGTTGTTGCCTCTGCTTGCAGATTCGCATTCCGCGACGCCGTCTCATCGTTTAATAGGCTTAGTGTGTTCGGTCGTGGGGGTAAAGGCGGTCGCGGCCCCTCTGGGCTGGGGCTTCGATCTTGAGACTCGGCTTGGGAAGGGCTGGGAGCTGATGAAGTTGTCGAGGCCTCGTCGGTAGGTTCATCGCAGTTGACGCTCTGAGACTCTGGTGGTAGTGTAATCATCCCCGCAATGGGCGTGCGCCTCTGGACGCAGTCGCTGGGTGCGGGGGATAAATCATAAGTTCTGCATGTTAATTATCGTAGAAACTCTCCCAGAGTCGCTGGGTGTGCTGGTCAGCGCGTGGTTTTTGCGGAGTTGGGACAGACACTGACGTCGATCGGAGACTCGGCGAAGATCACAAGGCGGACAAAACATCAATGTGGCCGCCTGCGTGGCCCTTTCGACCCTAGTCAAACATTCAACCTTCCCCTTCCACTAGGGTTGTTCTCAATGTCCTAAATATGACGGTGTGCGCCCTGGAGCTTTTACAGTATTTCACCCTCCCTCATTGGCACCATGAGCCTTGATCCAAGTGCTTTTCCGAGGTCGGACTCCCCCGCAAGCTCCGAAAGCTCCCTGACGCGCACGCGGCTACAAGGAAAGGGAGGTCTGTATCTCCCCCAAAGCTTTGCCTTTGAGGAAACTCGTGTCTGATGATTTTTTTTTGGCAAAGCAGGATCCCTCAAAAAAGACAAGAGTTACCGCCGCTATGCATCAAGCGTTGAACGAGCGTTGTCGCTGTTCGACAACGCCCTACAAGAATGGGCCGACTACATCTCCTTCCTCAGTCGCCTGTTAAAGGTGAGCGCAAACCATCAATATCAGTGAGACGTGAAGCTAACTACTGTCCAGGCGCTTCAAACCCACCCCCCTGATCAACCAGTCGTCCCGCATAAGGTGTTAGTCTCGAAACGACTTGCCCAATGCTTGAACCCATCACTACCTTCGGGGGTTCACCAGAAGGCGCTTGAAGTTTATACGTACATATTTGGACTGATAAAGGTATCATCGCTCGTGCAGTGTGCTCAGAATACGTGGACTGATATCTCTGTTTGGTATCTAGCTCGAGGGACTGTCGCATGATCTCCCACTCTACCTGCCTGGCCTTGCCCCGACCTTGACCTTTGCTTCGCTTACCGTTCGTCCTCTGTTCTTATCGCTGGTAGAAGGCTATATCGTTGATCTAGAACCATGGGCCATTCGCCCCGCCCTAAAAGCAATCCTTCTCGCCTTGCTCCCAGGGTTGGAAGAGGAGACCAGCGATGATTTCGAACCAACTTTGCGGATAATCAACAAGCTTCGAGATGTGTCTGGACATCTTGAGACGCAAAGAACGTCCGAGGCCGGCGCCTCTGGACAATACTTCTGGCAATGCCTCTTTCTTGCCTCGATCACGAATTCCAGCCGACGGCTCGGCGTGCTTGCATACCTGAACCGTTATCTCCCAAAGTTGGGCATCGCCGATCGTCGGCCAAGCACAGCGGATAGCACCGATATGAAGGGCATACCGACCGAGATTTTGGCGGCTGCCGATTCTGTCATTCTACCAGAACCGGGCCTTCTGATTCGTTGTTTTGCATCAGGCCTGTCTGATGAGCAGCTGTTGGTGCAGAGAAATTTCCTTGATCTATTGGTCACTCACTTGCCCTTGAACTCTCCGATTCTACAGTCTCGAATCGCCGAAATTGATCTACAAACGTTAATTGTTGCTGCTGTGGGCGTGGTCACTCGACGAGATATGAGCTTGAACCGCCGACTTTGGGCATGGTTCTTGGGGCCGGAGACTGCGAACGAGCGACACTCTACAGATGACCGAAAAATTTCTTCCGAAACCTCTCGCTCATACTCCGTTGATGGCAAGGAACTTTCGCAGTCTCAATATTTCAGCCGTGTTGGTCTGCAACCCTTGGTCAACGGTCTCCTCAACATGATCAAGCAGAAACCGACAGTGCCATCTGAGAGGACGAAACCTTTCCGAATTGCGCTATCATTAATGGATCGTTGGGAGATCGGTGGATATATTGTCCCCGCCGTTTTTCTTCCTATAGCGAACAGTGTCCAATCATTTGAGAAACAGGCACCCAGAAACCACTTTGAAGAAGTGTTTCGTAGTGCCAGTGCCTTCTTCGACGGCGTGGAGAGTAGTGTTATCTTCGCGGAGCTTTTGGGTCTGGTTGACTTCCGTCTTTCAGATGTCGACAAGGATAATGGCCAGGTCCTGCAGAACCTAAACCTGGCCGAGTTCATTCTCGAAAACTTCAATGTTCGGGAGGAGGACATGGTTCAAATTCATGTACCTCTTTTGACAGTGTCTTTGCTTGTCAAGATGGGCGAGCTCTCCTCTTTGAACACACCACTCTCAGAAACAGTCGTAACTCGGCAAGCCGTGTCAAGGTCATTGCACAAAGTGCTCAAGTCTTTAACGCCGCTCCTAACTGAGCGGGCCTTCTCGAAGAAGCTTGGCTTCGAGAAGTCCCCTGCCGCGGATGGAAAGGCCGGCAACAGCGAACTTCTGCAAAAGGTCCACCGGTTCTACGAAAGCAGCAAGAACAGTCTTGAGCTTCCGCCCCTTCCATTTGCTCCCAAGCAACTCGCCGAGCTGATTATTCGGGATGCTCACGAGCTGTCTATCCAGGCTTTAGAGAGCGATGATAGCATTTCGTCGCTTCATGAGAAAATCACCATTCTAGTAACATTGCTACAGAAGCTCCCGAGGTCGCGTGTCCTTCGAGACCGACGACTCTTTGAAGCGATTTCAGAAAGGCTTGCTAGAAAAGCTGAAAGCTCCACAACATCATCCTTTGCAGTTGTTTCAACCATTGCGTCCGCAGTGACCAATCTTTACTTCATCCACAGCCCTGGGTTTTATATCAGCTACCCCGACGCGTCAGACCTCATCCCAAGCCTGGTCCAAAGGCTGTGGCAATATCTATCACCATTGAGCCCGAAGTTCCATGTGGAGGCTGTTCGCTGTTTGTGGTCGCTGCATTCCATCTCTTGGGTGGATCATCTTGTGGAGGCGTCCATTAGTTCATTAATGGTCAATTCATCTACAGCAGGCTCGTATCACCTCTCATCAGAAGACCAAGCCGAGAAATTCTACGTTCTGTGGAATCACAGCCATCATGGTGGTCATGACCAGCCTCCAAAACAAGTTCTGGATGTCGGAGGAAGCCCCTTCTCCTATCAGTGCTCGATGCTCGAGCGTCCTTTGTTTATTGTATTGGATCTTTTGTCACAGGAGCCTGGTGACGTTTCCCAAGGCATTCAACAGTGGCTTCAGGATTTACCATCGATCCATAGGTATGAGATCCTGCAGCAAGATCAATGGGACGTAGCTCTAACATTATGGCAGAATCTTCCATGTGGTTGTTTCCAAGCTCGAAGAACTTTTCGAGCGTGACACTCCCGGTGCGAACAATGACCAAGCGATTTCTTCAGACGATTACAAAGAGTGCAGTTACTTGCTGCGCACGGCCTCAAATATTATTTCTACCCTTTCCCACCCCGGGTGGATGACGCTCCTTACACATACCCTAGGCCAACTGGAGAAACGACCCAATGGACCCAAGGCGGATGACAATGCACACTCGAAAAGCCTTCATGCTACCATATTTGAGGCTTCTTTGCGAATAATTAGCGACCAAACACCAGAGACCACCTATGTCACGCCGGAAGGGGAAAAGCTGCAGAAAGCTGCACTGTATCTCATGCGGCAACTTCTCTTGGGTCCCGGGGCCGAGGATCTTGTCGAATCTGGAATCGATGATTTCCTAGTCGATCGTCTTCTTTTTGCCGCAAACGAAGGAGGTAGCATTGCCGTTCAGGGCTCGCTCATCGATGCGCTTCTAGCGGCTCTGAAAGTACGATTCGCGCAGGCCTACCTACCCCCACCTCCGCCTCGACCGAAGCATCAGCGAGCGGCCTCTCGTGAACGGTTAACTAGCCCTTCAATATTATCTTTCACAAGTGATAAGGCAGAGAGAGCACCACCGATGCCCCAACTTCCTCGGCCACCTGAGCGTCTCCTAGATTGCCTTCTGAAAGGTATAAGCTCCGCGGAATCGCGCGAGATCGTGGACAAGTGGATTGGCCTACTTTGCGAAGTGCTTCCGCTCTACTCGCAGTCTATCTTCCAGATTCTCCTCATGCTTGTCGAATGCTTCTGTAGAGAGATCAAAGCCTCATTCGGAAGACTTCAGCTTGCGTTCCAGCAAACAGAGGACTGGCCACAAGACCGCTCCGAGCATGTGACGATCGCTCTTCTTACGGGTCTCGAAACATGTATCGCAAATGCTCACGAGCGTCTTCTCGTGGAGGAATCAAATGTCCCTGCAGCGAAAAGCCCTGACCAACCTCAGGGCTTTTTTGGCAACATGGTCTCAGGAGTCTTCAACTCAGATGGCAGCCAAAGCCGATCCAATACCGCCAATGACCGCCTGACCGTTCTACTCTGCTTCCAGGATGCTGTTCGTCTTTGCTTCTCTATTTGGGCTTGGGGAGCTGGGGAAAGTAGTGGGACTCCCCCTGACTCTGAATCGATAGCCTCTTTCCAGTACACGTCTCTGCGCATGCGAAATAGGTCTCGGAGGATTCTGGAGCATTTCTTCGGCGCCGAGGCGCTGGAGTGTCTGGAGACCTTGGTAGAAATGTGGGCCAAGTCAGACATGGCGACTGCGTCGCAAATCTTCAACCTTTTGCATACCCTTGATGGGTCGAGCCCGAAGATTACAATTCCAGCTGTCTTCAATGCTATTTATACGCGCACGAACCCGGCAGCTCTAGACCAAAATCGCAAATCGTCATTGACCTCCAGCTTGTCTGAATCCGAGCTAGCCAGTTTCCTAGTCGCCTATGCACGCTCCTTGGATGATGATGTTCTTGATGAGATTTGGACGGATTGTACGACATTCCTACGCGACGTGCTCAGCAATCCATTCCCTCATCGCCAGATTCTCCCACGATTGATTGAATTTGCGGCTATTCTGGGAACCAAATTGGAAAATACAACATTTGGTGAAGATCGACGTATGCGCAAGGAACTCGGGGTACGTCCTGCTCGGCTTTATTCGATATTGACTCATCATGGTTAACTAATTTTCTTCAACCTATAGGACGTGGTCTTGCGGCTTCTTACGGCCGTTTTCACCAGCAAGCCCCTTGGACTTAATCAGGAATCCGGTCTCATGGCGAGATCATCTCTGGACTACGACCGTACTGCAGTGTCCCATACAGGCCCAGACGATATGCTCAGTATATTGGCAGTCTCTATGCCATCATTCCTCACAACCTTGGGCGAGCCAGATCGTATAAACACTGCCATCAGTGCTGTGTCCACCAACGTGGTTGGCCCACTTATTCGCTCCCGTCTATTCCCTAACAACCTCAACCGCAACGTGATGGTGATTCTACAGCAAATGGCCAGAGTGCCCGCTGCCGCGAAGATATGGAAGAAAGATATCTCTGATGCCTTCAATGACACTCGTTTCTTTGGTCTTCATGTGGATCTGATCAAGGGCTGTTGGATGGAACTTTTGCGGCAGTGGACTCTTGCGGACAAAGATCGCTTTTCGGAAATACTGAGTCGTCTGCCGCCACCTAGCGCAGCAGGTATCATGTTTGGTGTGGGGGCGTCAGCTGCCCGATTGGAAGCGGATCGCAAGGCACAGTTGAACCTCCGTCGCATTGCTCTGTTGATCCTCTCGGCGAATGAAGACTACTTTGTGGCAGAGCTACCAGGCTTGCTTCAGAAAGTTGAGGATCTGTTAGCCGCGAGCAGCGCCTCGTCACCGTCATCCGCGACCCGGGCAGAAATCTTCATGGTTCTTCGTGCGGTGGCGCTTAAGACTTCGGCGATGGCGATTGCACCGTTCTGGCCATTGATCAACGCCGAACTGCAAGAAGCGGTTGCGGCAGTACCCCGCAATTCCCAGACGGACCTCTACAACGCTCATTCGCTGCTGCAGGCCTGCAAGCTCCTCGATGTTCTCTTAGTCATTGCTCCAGATGACTTCCAACTCATGGAATGGCTCTTTGTGACCGATACGATCGACGCTGTGTACCCTCCCAACCGCTGGGAACCAGTCGCTCTGGCAGACGAGGTATCACAAAGCTTTGGACCTCGCGGTATGTTTTCCCCAACTGTTCCTGGGGATTCCTCCGAGTCTGCGGCACGCAGTGGCTTTAAGCGACCCTGGCTCATCTCAGACAACATCCGAGAAACCGCCAAGGATGAGATTGTTGAGCGAGTCTTGCGGCCTTTCTTTGACCGGCTGAGCATCTATGTGTTTGAAAGTACCTATGGGATGGAGAGCGTGGATTCCGGGGTGTGCCGGGATGATCTGTTGGCAGACCTGTTCAACGAGAGCACGATGGCGAACTAAGCTATCGATGGAGATCCCCGTATAGATGATTGTAAATCAAAGCGATTTTTATTATGCATTCATTTGGCTTCGCTCTAAACCGTTTCCGACTCCTTCGGATGTATATGGCCTGTTTTGTTCCAACGCGGATGGTAGTGCTTTGAGTATTAGAGCTGGATGTCGAGTGGCATCTCAAGGTCCTGCAGATTTTAAAACTAATCGTATAGACCGATCTAGTAATTCATAGCTCCACTAAACCCTATAACATACATGACCTATGTTTGAAAATCTGTAATCGTTGTTAAATTCGGGGCAAGTCTGTGTATTTGCATTTGTAGTATACTTGCTTCAAGTAGAAACCGCCCGTTCCTGCCGCCACCTCCGCCAGAGTTTCCACCCCTCAACGTCACCTTCCAAGCTGCTTCGATCGCCACCATCTCCTTCACAACGTAACAACAACCCATGTTCTGGATTTTAGGCTGCTCTCTCGGTCAAATCTAAATAACTAGGGCAAGATGACTGTGCGCACAAAGATTTTCCTCCCCCTTCGTGGACGCGCGGGCGCCCGAACATTCTCCGTCTCCCGTGCCCGCTGGGAAGCGGCGCCGTTGCCAGCGCGCAAGCCTGTTGGAGCCTTTCGAGGAGGGTATGTGTTCATCTTCTATATCTAGCTTGATATGCCTTTTGATGCTTGATATTGTATCATGCCGTGACTTTTCCTGACAACAGACAGACTCTTCGGCTTCCTGACCGGCGCAGTCGTTGCCGGCGCGTCCGTCTACTACTATGTGCTTGGAGACTACCGCATCTCCAACGAGATCCTGACCGATGATATTACCGTACGTTTCAAGACTTCCTCTCATTACCAACACTTCTTTGCCGTAGCTGACCGTGCGACCATCCTCTCCGGTATTCCCGGAATGATGGTCTCGTTGGTATACAGGCTCTTCAGCATGCTACCATCAAGCTTCAGTCATACATCACGGAGCTGGAGTCTCGAGTGGATCAGCTGAAGAAGAAATGAGACATTTCTATCATTTGTCCTTGATCTGCCGTGCTGTATTTTGTCTCTATGGCGTTAGGGCGTCTATTTATGCATTAGTTTGACTGCGAAATAAGCATTTGTCCAAATTTATATCTGTGCTAGCTTAAATGATGGTTGCAAAGGCCCCTTATCTCTATGTAGAAGCCTCCATCTCATTCTAAGTCACGTCAGAGTCCTTACATTCATCCAGATATGTCGGTTCAATGCCCGCTCCTCCCATGTTTTGAGCTTCACGGAAGCTTTATGGAGAGTGCAAACAAATCAAACACCGCCTTATCGTGGCCATCCAAATGATCAACTTTCGCCCTCTCTCTTTCCCAACCACTCACCTTTCACACCTCGACTCTCCTGGAAACAATGTTTCGCGTCGAGCTTCTCGCAAATTCTTCATCGCATGCGACCCCAGGGTACACCTACGTCGCAGACCGGGGGTTCGGCCCGGCCAAATCCGCCATGGCTCCGGCCTTGGGCCGCAAACGCGGAATTCACAACGCCGGCAAAGGCGGCGACATTTCTTCGCGACGTGCGAACGCAATCATCCGCCACATTGCCGAACTAGACCGCGAAAACCAGCGCGATGTACAGATCTCCGTGCCCGCCCGGCCAGCGAAGGAGGCAGGCGCACGCGTCTCCCGGACAAAGACTACCTCGAACGTGCGCCGTATCTTAGTCTCGCAGAAGACATTTCGGAATCACCTCGATGATGAGGAGGCTGCGATTGCTGCGGGAGGTGGTGGACTGAGTATACCGGTGGGAGCTGCAGCGATCGGACCGGCCGTTCCATCGCGAGTTAAAGGTGTAGCGGCTGCTGCTGGGACACGACGGAGCTCGACGCCAGCTTCTACCGCTGCTGCACGCAAGAAGCGCACACCGACTGTCGCTGCTACCACTACTACCTCTACACCTACGCCCGTGCCCTCGCAGACGGAGAATACGGATGCCGAAGCGGAAGAGGATCGCGCCGAGCGGAAACATAAACTCATTAAGACGGAACATGATAACGATCCTCTTCTACGATCATATGCTCCAACTATACCGTCAGAACGTATCATGGACCGTCTTTTGGCAGAGCCCGCTTTGTCGTATAACGCTTCGCGCGCTGGACCGCCGATCTCGACACAACTTCCTCGGGCCTTTTGTTGCATGTGTGGATACTGGGGCAAGATTCGGTGCAAGAGTTGCCATTTGCGAACTTGCGGGTTGGACTGTTATAAGGTCCATGAAGACTCGAGGTGTGGTGCCTTCTTCTAATTTGAGACTGGAGGTCTTTGCTTCTGTATACTATGGAGAAGAAAGGATATTCTTATGCCTTTCTCCTACTTTAATGACTTGATGAATCTTACGTCCAAAAGAAGCGACTGTACTATAGCTAGTGTACTCTTAATCATTACCGATTTCATTTTGCGCTATAGAACTTATAAAAATGTAAGAAAAATTCCTACCGTTCAACACTTCAGGTTGATACCCGCACGCAGCTCGTCCTCGCGAATCTCAAACATGACCTGTACGCCAACGAACAGCACCACGCAGCACGAGATCATATACGCAACGCCCGAGTACGAACCCGTCAGGCTAGTAAGCAGGTTCTGCAACCCGTCCAGGCCGAGTGCAAAGCCAACCAGATTGGCAATCATCATCATGAGCACATTGCCAACCGATCCGATGCCACTCAAGACTCGGTACGCGGTAGGCCGGGAGCGCCAGCGACTAGCAGGGAACAGCATGCCACCTAAAACTTCGGGCAAAACGAAGAGAGTAATGAGCCAGCTCCACATCAACAGACGCAGGTTAATATCGTGCCACAAAGCAACAAAGGTGAACACCAATAAGAAGTTGCGGATCTGTAGGAACTTGGCCATCAAGCCTGACTGTGGTGAAGACGGAGATGGTTTTGATCCAGCGGGGCGTCGTCCACCACCGCCTCCACCAAGGGGCACGTAGACATATCGGACGATCCAGCGGTTATAGGAGCGGTGCCATCCGCGCCAAAAGGCAAAGGCTGAATAATTGTTCGACATGCAGCGGACCATATTCTCTGGCGGGTCAATTCCGTCGATGAGGGCCCAGAAACGGAAGAAGCGCCAGGGGATGAGCAGCTTCAGCCAGATAATGTGGAGATTGAAAAAGGCCAGCATGCTGAGTTGGCCTGGCGTGAACAGGGACCAATCGGGTGAGGCCTTAGAGATGGCCACTGCGTAGATGTAGTGGAGGATAAGTTCCATGCAGAGCAGGGTAAGGAGGAATCGGATTCCATAAAGGATGGTGCGGGTACTCGTCAATGAGGGTGCTTTGAAGCGTTGTTGTGACACGTAATCATTGAAGGTCAAAATAGGGCCAGCCAAGTACAATGGCGAGTAGAGCACGTAGGCAATGTAGTTACGAAAGCTGAATGCAGAGGGCTCGGCGGGGATCTTGACACGGTCTCGGTCAGACAGGGTCGCGGGGTCGAGTTGTTTCTTCTTGTAGAACTCGGTCAGCTATGCTCAGTTGATACAACTGGGTTACGTGAACTCACTTCAATCGCGCTCCCTGCGGGGTATTGCAGGCTCCAATGGTGATCCATGTTGAAACTAATCAAGCGCAAGACAGTGACCTTGAAAAGAACCTCCCAACGAGGCATAATGCCACCGAAGCTATCGAGTGCTTTCGCCCACTCGACAAGCAAAGTATGCTTCTCATCGGGCGAGTCGGACCCTGGGGACAAGATGGTTGCAATCACTTCGAATGGGTACCCTCCGCATAGCTCGTTAGCGAACAAGATGCAGATATTGAAGGTCCACGTGGCCGCAGGAACATAAGAGCGTGGAAGACTCTTGCCGATTTTGTAATTAATGAACAAAATCAGCAAGACTTTGAGTGCCGAAACGCCGTGGAGCGCGGAGACGAAGATTAGCCCAAATCCAAAGTCAAAGCGCATTCGTTGCTCCAGCTGCGCATCGCCGGCCGCCGCCGCCGAAGGGTGGGCGGCCTTTGTTTCGGGGCCGTAAGGGTTTTTATATAACTGGTAGATCCGACGAGCAACCGGGTGGGCAACTAGGAGCAACAGGAGATAGGGGAGGTTGTCGCGGAAGCTCGCATATTGGGCATCGGAGTTGTCCTATTGTCATTGAAGCGGCGGGTGTGAGTTATATTTGCCTCGGGAAAGTATAGGTGACTTGAACTTGGAACTCACGACTAGTCGGCCAGGAATCCATCCTGGTGACAGGAGATGGGAGTATGTGGGATAGACAGGGTGGGTGTCTGTTTAATTTGGAGATCTGCAGTAAGCAACTGTTGCGCTGTCCTTCCGCATTTCCACGGCATTGGCTCTTCACTCACCCTTCGAAGCATCCACGACCGTCTTGAACATCAACGGAACGAGTGTAATGAAGAAAAGGTAATAGACGAAGAACTCGGGCGTACGCCAGAGCGGAGCGGGTGCGATCTGGGCGATAGCATTGGCGCGGGCATCTTTCGCGGAGGGAGGTCGCGTGTCAGCGGCAGCGTTGCCCGGGGTGGTGGCGGTGGAGGTAAAGCGAGTGTCGAGGGTGTCGAGCGAGTAGATGCGTCGGAGCCAGGAAAGAAGGGCAGGCATTTTAAAGCAGGGGCATGGCGCAACGCGACGATCAAAGTGAAAGGTCGAGGGATCGAGGGTAGTTATGCGGAGGGTGTTTACTTAAGAGTCTCAGGGGGGGCCGAGGCAGTGCCAACTGGCCACGGGGTGATTCTCTGGAGAGCCAATCACCGCCCGAGAATATCACAGCAATGTATAACCATCTTGATTGATCTTTCAGAATTTTGAAGATATATGAACCCAGCGACCTTCAGAAGGAATGTAGAGCACTTTAAGAGCACTTGCTATCCTTGAGCTGGTTGGAGAGTATTTCCATGCCCGAAATTCTTTACCAACTTGCGAGCTTTGCCTTGCAGTAAATATCATTTGTTCTTTCATTGATCGTATGTAACTCAACTAATGTGAATACTCCTGTCTCGGCAAGGAAAGAGAGAGCCAGGAAATGGATGATGCAGAATGTCAACAATTTAGAAAGCAACATTGTGAAGTGATGAAGATAGTCCATCGGATTATTCGTTTTCCATAAATTGGACATTGTCAACCAGTCTCATCTGTCATAGCCCCCTAACTCAAGCGGCTTTTTCAGCAACAGGCGTAAAAGAAGATTCAGATCCGTGTCCACGGGAAGTTAGTGCAGACTTGCGCACCAGCCGGAGATTGAAAACGAGAAGAAGCAGGGCAGTCAGACCCGCAAGAACGCCCAAGGTGACCATGGCACCAATGACACCAGCAACCGCAAGACTCATTCCTCCGTTGGAAGATGAATTGGACGATGAGGTATTAGTGGAAGAGTCGGAGGTGGAGCTGCAGATACCAGTGGAATTGCCACAGGCCTGGCACCATTGCTCCTGAGAGGTGATAGCAAACTTCTTGGTGGAGTCGACAAACTGTGTCCATGGAATATCCACATCAGACTGTCCGAAGAGCGGGTAGGTTTGTAATTCAGTTGAGCCCTCAATGCTGGTTCCGTTGTGGAACAAGAAGCGGACGTTGATGTCAGACTCCGAGGGCATCCCGGTGCCAGATGCGTTGGTGACGAGCTCCCATACCATCGAAGACGCGTAGACGGGCATTCCAGTAAATTCCACATCGTTGGCGAGCCCAGACAATCCAAAGTAAGCTAGGAAGGTTGCGTATGCGCCAAATTGGATGTTAAGTTTGGACTTGCCCCCAGAGCTGATGGTCCTGTTCAAGGCTGTCAACACTTCGCCTGCCAGCGTCATACCCGCAACTGCACGAATGGGCTCTGAGCTGTTATATGCGAGACTGAATTCATGAGTGTTGGCCAGGACCAGCAGTTCTTGCATCACTTGATCGGATGGGATGTTGCTGGAGGCATTGTGAATAGAAGCAACGTTCAGCAAGTCCCAGATGGTGAATGCATTCTTGAAGCTGAGACCACTTGAGGAGATGGTATTGTTGAGGTCAGATTCGAGAGACTTATAGAGGCTGCTTGTGCTAGAGAGCAGCTCTTGGTATGGGCTCGAGTAGTAATAGTCGTTACTGCTCACCTCGGCGTTGTTGCATTCCGAGGTGCTTTGAAGCCATGTGTTGTCTTCACTGCTAGAACCAGACTGCACGTCTCCCATGGGGATGAGCTGGTAACCACTCAGAGGGGAGTAGACGGTAGTTCCATTGCGAAGAGTCTCGTTCGCAGCCGTACCAATGGGCGGATATAGACCCTGCAGGAAGGCTTGACCGGAGATCTGAATGACAGTATCCTGAGGTGCGGTGGCACTGATCTGGGCTAGATTGACAACGCTAGAGCTGATGCCCTCAATATGATCCTGAGAGCTAGCCGAGATGTACCGCTCATGGAAGAAGTTACCGGTCTCGTATACTTGATTGTACCCAAGATCTGTCAACTGTGTAGGTGGAAGACCCTTGGCGGTACGATCTCCATGTCGCTGGAAGATGTAAGCACCCAGGACTCTTTCTGCACTGACAAGGTCTGCCAGAGGCAGAGAGGCAATGGCCAACAGGGTAGTAATGGTAGTAGTCATTGTATCTTTGTTGATACAAGATGTGGAAAGCTACCGACTTGAATTTTACGGATAGAAAAGAAACCAGAAAACGGTAGACCCTCTTCTCTTATTTATCTGAGCACCGTGCGGGGGAAAAATAACACGGCAGTGTATGACTATTACTGGTGTAAAAGGAAAAGCCTAGCTCAATCCATGTGCGGATGTTCTGGAGCACTTTGACTTTGGCTTTCGTCGGTCCTGGCGCACCTGATGCATGCGTGATTCGCTCCATACTTGGGCCCACAGGACATGATTCGTTAACAATAGTTCCAGGGATCGTTGAAAAAGAGCCTACTGGATGAATGAGGAGTCGGAAAGCGCGGATTCCTATCAATCTCGTATCGGGAAGGCGCAGAGGCTATCTCTAGTCTCGATGCAATTGTTCCTTGGGTAACTTGGGTCGTTTGGCGAAAGCTTAAGAAGGCCCGAGTGCCACCCCGCTTTCGCTCAGACCTGCTATATCGGGCCTTTCAACAGAAGCAGTGCAACATTTCACTCTTTAGCTGCATGATACTAGATCTCACTGGTATTATCATTGACTCATCATTGGTACGATCAGCATCCAGGAGGCAATTGCCCCGCCAAACCCCCTCCTTCAATCCCAGATATGTAGTCCGGGTGCGCTGACTATGATTCGGACTTTGACTTGATATTCCAAACAATCATGATCGGGGGGCTTCATGCTGTGGCGTCTTCTTACCAGCGGGTTCTCCACGGCTATGAACCGGTCCTGCACTCGCGACCCCGGTTTGAGACGCTCCGTGGTTCGAGGCATTCAATCACGATTCTTCATTCGCGTCGCAAAGCTTCAGGTCAGCCTCAACAGGAGGCGGAAATGAAGAACAGAATCGAGCAGTAAGCAGCTCCATATCTTAAATTTCAAGCATGATCTTGGGTAAGATAATTTATGCGCTACTCCGGAAGCATAAGTTCAAGTACAAAGTCCTCGTTAATTGGTCATTTACGGCAGAGTTGAACTGATAACGCCAACAAATGCGTGTTCGAAAGAGGCATGATTATGATTCCACTTGGTCTACTGGATATCAAAGACCCACAGGGAGGGACTTTGAAGGACAACGTCGTTGTCGACTCCCCCTCCTAGTGGCAACCTTAGCAAGCTTACAAGGACGAGTGCATCAATCTGCTACTATGGCTACTTTAGGAAGCACTATCTATCCAATCAGGCTAGAGGACTCGTCTTACGCATGGTCTGCCACCTCGAACAATGAACCCTTATTATCCCTGCACTCCATAGGGGTCCACTCTGGCTCACGGACGTCCGAGCCGACAAAAGCGGGACAGCAGGCCAAGAGTCTTGGCCAATGGAAGTGGGCAGCTATGGCAATTGACATTCCTTCCACAATCCTTGATACACTTTATTCAGATCTGCTGCTTCGGGTAATTGCTGGACTTGTCATGTCGAGTTCAGACAAAAAGGAGGGATGTACCGGAGCGGTGATTACCTGTCATAATCTGATCCTACTATTGGAGAGACGGAGAAGCTCCTCGACAAGGAACTTTCGACAAGGGACTCCCTAGCACAACCATTACTTGCTCGAGACATAGCTAAGAATATTATGATCTGCTAGTTAAAAGACCCTACTAACCAGGGGCGGAAGATCGTTTTAAAGCCCTCTTTGCAGTGAACTCTTGGATGACCGGATGACTTGGCAAGCTACTGATAGCTAGTGTTAGCTTGATGAGTCGTGAGGTCATCCGGAATTCGGAGCCGAGCAACCAAACGAGTTAATCAAGCTATTCTTCCGTTTGAATTCTTCGGAAAGAACTTTCTGGCGAACGGGGGGCTGGAACTCAATTGATGCAAGCCAAGGAAGCATCTGTAGAACGTCCCACGGCTAATCTCCTCCATTCGAAACCATGTCGGTTCCTGCCGAGAGCTGTAAGCAACATGGACAGGCCGACCATGTTTGCATCTTCATCAAACGCTTTCTCGTTTGTTTGCACGAATTGATCCAGGACTTGGTCCCATACATCTTCATCATTCACTTTTCATTCATCATGGAGATCAGTGCAGAATTGGATACTAGCAACCGCCCCGATGAGTGGAAGATCGAACAGGGTATGGCTGGCCACAAGCTGCCTATCCTAGATCAGACCGGGAGCGATACCATCAATCTTTATCCTCCACCACCTACCAAACTGATCAAAGATGAAGAAGCCATTTAATCGGTGGGCGACCGTGCGAAGCTGTTCTCTCGAGAGCGTGTGGGTTGGAAAGGGTACATTACTCAAGGTGACGTCTTGTACACAAGGTTACCATGACTGACTGCTGGTGCTTGATTGTTTCAGATACGTCGAATGGGAGAAATTCCCAGAGAAGAAGAGCAAAGCCAAAAAGATCTTGGCATCTCAGACCTTCCCCGAATCCCCTGACTTCATGTTCGGTCCTATCCCGAGCACCAACCCCGTCCTGGCCGGCGATGACTTCAAAGCCTGGCACAACGCTATCGGTGGAGAGCTTACCACCGCAGCCGATGATTCCTGGCGCACGGTACTTCGTGAAAAGCATCCCGATATGCTTCACCTTCTTCAATTCCCCTACAACGGCGAGCCCCCGAAGCGACTTGTCACTTCCAAGACGATCACACCTAACCCACTTCATTTCGTACGAAACCACGGTGGTATTTCTATTATCGACAAGGATAGGTGGGATCTATCGTTGGATGGGTTAGTCGTAAACCCCAAGACCTACCGTCTAGACGACCTATGGACGAGTCCCGATTCCCTCGTATAGAGAAGACGGTCACTATCCAGTGCTCGGGTACCCGCCGTATCGAACATATCCAACTATACGGTGGCCAGGGTGACGAAGTACCTCAGGCCCCGTGGGCCGAGGGTGCCATTAGCACCGCTCGCTATGTGGGCATTAGCTTAAAGAAGGTGATCAAAGACTGCGGCGGCCTACTTAAGCCCGCCAAGCACCTTGAGCTATACGGCGCCGAAACCTATGTTAAGGATCTCGAAGTGGGAAACTATGTGGTTAGCGTCCCCTGGTCCAAAGTTAGAGCCAACGAGGTCATTCTGGCTTGGGAGATGAATGGTGAGCCTCTACCTAAGATCCATGGCTATCCACTACGTGTCATCGTTCTAGGGTACATTGGTGCTCGCAGTGTTAAGTGGCTTTACCGCATTAAGGCTATTGAGAATCCTTCCCGCGCCCCGGTCCAAGCTAAGGAGTATCTTTACTTTAACCAACAAGTTGGTAAGTATAATCTATGCGCAACGGATGGCATTCAAATTCAAGAGATGCCCGTCAGCTCTGCAATCATGTCTCCCTGGACCAAACAGACTGTCGTTCATATAGGTACGATCAGATGTAAAGGCTGGGCATACTCTGGCGGAGGTCGATGGCCCGGACGGGTCGAGCTATCTGCTGATGGCGGCTTCACTTGGTACGCCGTGCCCCCGAAGAAACTGTCTAAGAAGGGGCGTTGGACCTGGCGAACGTGGGAGTATGATCTTCCATGCGATGTCGAAGGTTGGATTGAAATCGTCTGTCGATGCTGGGACAACTCGCTCAATACACAGCCACTGAACGTGCGTGCGGCATGGAATTGGGGTCTGCATGTTACTTCCTCGGCACATCGCATCAAGGTCTACAGCGTCAATAAGAGTCGGGAGCTTACCAGGAAACGTTTAGATAAGTTTGAGCAGCTCGGTATTTCTCTGGCGCCTCTGACACACTATGACATCGTCCCTGGGCAGACGGCAGAAGAGTATGAGCAGTACTGGCGGGATCATGATCCTCGCGATGTTGACGATTAATTTGCTATAGACGGAAGCTTCATTCTATCTCGATTGCTATTATTCACAAGTATCTGGCTGTTCTTGTTGAAATGAAATTTTATCCAGTCATTACTGGCTGCGACTTGATTGTGATTCGGTCAAATTTATACCTGAGCACATAGTTTCCCGTGCTATCATCTCAACAAGAACTTTCGAAACATCCGCGGTAATCCTTGGAGACTCCCGGTGACTCGTAATACTGTATTTCGAGACTGATCACCGCACATGAGATTTCGCTAGACTCATTAATAAATCGCAATTTGAAAACGACACAATGTTTGTATTGCGTTGGCGTGGAGGACCTATGAACATGCGCGATTAGATCAGCACTTCTACGCCGACCTCAGCATTTCCCCAGAACCTCCACCTTCATCTACATCCTTCCCTCGCCACTTCATCAGTGCCGGCACAAACAAACATCCAAGCATGACCAGCAAGAGGGTACGTGTAGCTTACGAAAATTCGCTCAGATCACTATTTTTTATTATCATGGACTCTTCTTTGCCTTGGATATATCCCTTTTAGCCCGACCGAGCTGACCTAATTCTAGATCGCATTCAAGGTCCATGGCACCGTGCAAGGTAAGACAGCCCACCTTACAGCCTCGTCGCATCATCATCCCTTGCAGCCTCGACAAAATAATAGAGAGTCACAAAGAATTACATGCTAATCTCATCATCCAGGTGTCGGGTTCCGGTAAGGATGCGATCACCCAGATCGGGGTATGACATCATGCCTCATACACCAATTGAACTAACCGTAGCCACCCTTGATCTCTCACAGAGACTTTACTCAAAAGTGCGCAATCAGCCATGGCCTAAAAGGCTGGGTTCGAAATACCACGTGCGGGAGAGTAAGTGGATTCTCGCTTTTACAAGGTTCGGCTCTTAGCTAATTCAATACCGCTGCGCAGGTCGAGGGAGAAGTTCAAGGCGATGAACAGACGGTACAGAAATTGCTACAGCAGATTGATAAAGGCCCTCGTCATGCCCACGTTGTGAAGTTAGAAAAGAGAGAATTGGATCTCCAGGACGGGGAAGACCAGTTTTTGGTGATGCGGACTGCAGAGTCGATGTTTCATTCTGGGGCTTAAGCTATGTGTTCTGCATGATGGTGGCCTCTTCGATCGCTTCCATCGTCCTTGGGTGGTATTTTAATGCGAATCATGAACTTTCCAAAGTAGATCATTAACCTTGTTTTCATCCATGAAGGACTGGAAATGCCTAGAGTAAATCCTCAATTGTTTAAACTCCACCGTAGACTATACACCAACGACTATGCATAGCGTGGACTATATATACGTTAGGCCCAGCCACTAAGCATCCCCACTATGAGCAACAATGAGAAAGATATCGGCAAGCACCGGGGGCTTACATTCCTCTTCAGGACTCGTGACCAAAATTTGTCCCCAATTTCGCCCCGGTGAGATCGAGTTTCAGAAAATTCAAGATCCCGAATCGCAGACGCCGGCCTCACAGCCCACTGAACCTGCTCATCCCGAGAAATTCTCGGGAAGCCGTGAGTCAGTGCCTGACGGGCAGGGCGAAAACGTGGCCACCCCCGACTCTTTCCGAAGTCACCTGCCTCAGACCTGGCCCAGGCTGACGGTATTCGGATGACGGTCGAGCATCAGCGTCGTAGTCAACAAACGACTACATGGATAATGGGAAGCTCGTTGATGCTGCTTCTTGTTCGTAGATGGTCCTCTGGTGTCAAATTTACTAGATATCAGGTCAAATGTCCAGTCATCAGAGCTGTAGGGCAGACGATCGGCGAAGTGGGGGTCGTTCTGGTATCGTTCCTCTAACGGGCGATCGTGGCCGTCGTATGGCCCGCCAATCAGCACTGGCAAATGCCGTCATTTTGTCAGGCACACCCCTGGCCCGTTCCAAATTTGATACTGTCAGAGGAGCGCAAAGATCTGGTTAGGATGTGTCGATTTTTTAATTACGATTTTGCTCGGGCTTCGTATTCTCTCGGGCTTTCGGCCTTGAGTTGCGAGGTATAAAAGCGATGATGACGCCGCCTATACTTGCTTTTCATCTTTCAAAGACTTCGAACTACAACGAACAAAGAATTACTTTCGAGTATTGAACACAAACTACAAAGCTGATCATCACCCACACCAGCTTGTTCATGATGAATTCACTATCAACACTATCGACGACTGGACCCTTGCGGATTGCTGCCAGGCCACAGACTTATCTCTTCCTGGCCGTTCGCACCTACTCCGGGGTCGCAGCCACAACGATCAGCTCTTCAAGTCTCTCCAGACAACGCTCTTCAAGAACTACCTACACATCGAAACGTCTGATCTCCTCAACACCTCACCCTCAGATCAAAGAATACTTCCCTCCTCCTGCAAACCCCGCCGTGAAAGAGGTGACTACGGCATGGTCGCATCCGATGTAAGCAGACAGGCCCCCGCAAAACTAATCTCGAATACGAGCTTATACGAAGTACCACAGCTATACCGAGGCGCAGATGAATAACGTGAAAATCGCGCATCGCGAGGCCACCAACTGGTCCGATTGGGTTGCACTGGGCACAGTTCGCTTCTTCCGATGGGGTATGGACTTGGCGACGGGATACAAACACCCACAGCCGGGCCAGGAAGCATCGGAGAAGTTTAAGATGACGGAGCACAAGTGGTTGACCCGTTTCATCTTCCTGGAGAGTGTCGCGGGTGTACCTGGGATGGTTGGTGGTATGCTGAGACATCTGCGGAGTTTACGACGCATGAAGCGTGATAATGGATGGTATGTATTCCATTCTCAATCAGAGCCTAGGCCTGAAAGATGCACTAACATGTACCTCTTGATAGGATCGAGACTCTCCTGGAAGAAGCATTCAACGAGCGAATGCATCTCCTCACCTTCCTCAAACTGGCCGAGCCCGGCTGGTTCATGCGCTTAATGGTGCTCGGCGCCCAGGGTGTCTTCTTTAATGGCTTCTTCCTGTCGTATCTCATCTCTCCACGAATCTGCCACCGCTTCGTGGGTTACCTGGAAGAAGAGGCAGTGTTGACATACACACGGGCCATTCAGGAACTCGAAGACGGCCATTTACCAGAGTGGAAGGAACTCCAGGCACCCGAGATTGCAGTGCACTACTGGCAGATGCCCGAGAATCAGCGCACGATGCGAGACTTGCTGCTCTATATCCGTGCCGACGAAGCCAAGCACCGCGAGGTTAATCATACGCTGTCAAATCTGGACCAGGCGGCTGACCCCAATCCCTATCAGACGGAGTATCAGGATCCGAGAAAGGACCATCCCACTCGGGGCATTGATAACCTGAAGGCGACGGGATGGGAGCGAAAAGACATCTTTTAGATGAGAAAAAGCGATCGGGTTAATAATCTTTTGTTTAGGCTTTGGAGTTAGCGGGAATTTGGTCATCTCTTCTCTCTGTTTATAGAATAATCATGACTTCATGACATATGCAGTCGAATTCACAATTGAAGCATCGAAGCATCGAATCATCCACCGTGTTTCTTCGGTTGGAACGCGGGACGCGGGGCTCCGCTAAACCCAAACGGGTAATGCAGCAACATGTTCGGGTTTTTGTAGTTTGTACTCCGTAGAACTTATTCATGTCATACATCCAAGGAGATGTGCTTCGTATCTCAGCATAGTTGATAGTTGGAGTATATTGGATGCTTATAATCAAGAATCGTCCGGATAGGGGCTGTAGGCATGAGGGGTGCGAAGATTCATAAGGCCCTATCGGAGAACATAGACCACCAACGGCTCGACGACAGTTATGGATTGTAGACAAATTAAATTCCCAGATAGTCCCAGTCTGTGTGTTCGATTGTCCGACCCGCTTCCCCCCCCCCCTTTCGCCCTTGAATTCTAGGTTGACTGTTTTATTGTGCTTAATTTTAGCCCTTGGTCTTCCCCCCCCCGTTAGACCAATTACATAGGTGGTTAGTCGGAACCACCCCTTTTATCCCAAAAAAGCCTCTCGGCCGTCGATCCTGCACGTTCTCATTAAACCTCCGTTCAATCTGGTCTCTTCTGTTGGCCGTCCGACCCGAAAGACAGCAAGACTTGACTCTTCCTTGCCTTCTTCGACTTTACGATTCCCAAGTTTCACTTTCAAACCTCATCATCCGATCGTGTCATCGTCCCGAGTGAACGGCGACCACATCCCACTTCCGAGTGCACATGCCAACAGTCGCCGATCGAACCGTTGACCATTGAGCACCACCGCGGCTGGGACGACGGTTGCGGTTTCAGAATTTCTTTCGGCCACCTCGCAAAGAGCCATGGAGGAACCGCAGTCTATGGACGAAGCCCTGTCGCTGCCCGTTCGCGCCTCGTCGCCATCACCGTCCGTTCCCGCAACGCCGGCCATTTCTTCATACTCCTCCCCGGACCGCACCTTCTCCTCCGTTTCCTCCCACTCCGCCTCCTCGGCGACCTCGAACGATGCCCGCTCCACGATCTCGACTTCGTCTCGCAGACATGGATACGTGCGCGCGTGCGGGGCCGAATTCGCCGACTCGGCGCGGCATCGCGACAGCGTCATGAGCCTGGGCAGTATCGCCCACCTACAGTACTACTTTGCCCGCACGGGTCTGTTGGACGGAAAGACAGGCCGAGGCAAAGAGTTTAAGAAGAAGACTAGGGGTAATGTGCCGCGGGTGCTCATCACGCCGAATGAGCAGCATATGGAGGATTTGGTGGCCAGCCCGACGGAGATGGTGGACGAGGCGGAGGAAGAGGCTAATTACGAGGACGAGGAGGGAGAGGTGATGCTACCCCCCACCGTCAGTACATACAGCATTAAAACCCACCACGTCCCTCCTCCGCCCGACGTGGTCTCCTTACGCCGCGATCTGCAAGTCGCACTGGATAGAGCCGAGAGTAATATCGAGGCTATTGAGAATGGCGTGGAACCTCCACCCCGCGCACCAATACGTACCAGTCTCTCCCCCGGTGATATCCCCGAGGGCTCAGATGACGATACCGTGCGAGAAGCGCCAGCACCGCAAACTAAGGAAGAGGCACAGGGCATGTGCATTCTGGATGATGTGACGATGGCTATTCGAGCCGCCAAGATCTACTATACCGCCCACCCACACCCCGAACGCCTGGGTTCAATCAAGAGTGAACGGGACATTCGCAAAGACCTGCTTCATGTCCTTGATGTACTGAAACGCTGGGCGGCACGACACTTTGCCTGTGGTCTTCGCGATGAAGAGCGCGATGTGATCAAGGGCTGGATTGCGGGTGTCCGCACCATGCTAGTTCGAGAGAAAACCCTTGAAGACCTGGAGGCTCAGGAGCGAGAGAATTGGGACTGGGCCCGTGGCGACTGGTCCGGACGGGAGCGAGCCCGTGAGGAGTCTTTCCTTCGTAGTCTCATGCCCGGTGGCCATACGTTGCCCGAATGGACGGCCATCGATGATACACCGTTGGACTCCCTCCCATCCCCGTTCCTGGAGCGTTTCCGAGATGGCCGTATCCTGGTTCAGTTGCATAACATCGCAGTCAAGAAGTCGAAGCGTCACTTTGGGGAGATCAAGGCCTACCATGAGGATATCGCCAAGCCCTATCGCCAAGCGGAGAATCTACGATTCTGGCTCAAAGCTGCCGAGTTGCGGTGGGAGATGCGGAAGCAGGTGGACGTTATGGGGGTGGTTCAAAACACTAGCGAAGTGGCCTGGAGGCAATTCGACGCCGCACTGTTGGCCTGGTGCAAGACGGTGCGTGAGGAGCTGGTACGAGATTGGATGGAGGCCAACCCGGGACGACCCCCGAGTGCCGGTCTGATTTAAATGAGGGTTTGTAGACGGGAGAGGAAGAGTTTACGAGTTGCATTTCGGCCTTGACATCACGTTGTTGTCGTTCTATTTAGTTATTTATTTTTTACCTCCAAGGGCACTTGGCTAGATACCCCTGAATTGTCTCCGACAGCCTTTGCCCACTTTCGCATTTGGTGTTGGCTATTGGTTGATTTTGTCATTATCCGATTGTTGGTTTAGTTCGGAATTTCGCTGCATACTGTTTTGATCAAGGTTTGCGTCTAGAACGGAGAAGTCTGTGGATAGCGAATACAGTATGATTGTAATATTTATAGGAAACGGCAGGGCGTACTTCACCTAATAATATAGGACTCTAGGAGGAGTGGAGCCCATGTTTCCATGCGCGGTGACAAATTCGTAAGGGAGTTCAATCGAGACGAAACCGTGGATGTTGACTTAAGGGTACCATGGGAAGCCGGAGCTGTTCCTGACTTTTCAAGGTTTTCCATTATTTACTGGTTCGCGTTTTCAGAGACGGTACACTTTTTAGGATGAGTAGTAGCGAGCCATTCTTCTTCCTTGATCCAACTCGAGATACTGAATCATACTCTTTATCACGGGCCTCGAGCTGTCCTTTCATTTCCGTGAAGGTCCGTTGACGCTAGGGCACATGGGCGCTGATCCGAGCGCCCCTTGAAATGAACGCTCCTTTTTAGAACCACTACGGAGTACGAAGTAATACTAATATCGCTGGATGTGACTGATTATCCCCCGAGCTTCGTGGATACTGTAGACGAACGTAGAGAAAGGAGATTGTTCAAAGCTTCGAAATGTCCATGATAGGACCCATCAAGTATAGCTACGGTTTTGTTCATGAGATTGTGGTTTTTGTTTGGCTCAGCTTTCATGCAGCCGAGACAAGACCACAAGAGTATGATTTCATCTCATCGTCCAATGCCGATCCCTGGACTACGAAGGATACTGAAAGAAATACTCAAACTCATATCTTAAATTACAGGCCGAGGAGAACCAAGAGGTACTTAGGCCCCCATAGTTATTCGGGCGGGACCCCAGGTACCCTCTCTACTGCGTCAACACCCCCCATCCCGCTTCATCCCTCGTTTCTCGTGTCTCAAGCTATTGCTGCCCAATATTTATCTGCATACAGCACTGGTCAATTCTCAGTTCTCATCTTTGACACCTCTACCGAGACCATCAACCTGGCCATGTAGCCTTTCCCCCGATTCTCCAAATACTAAATCATCATACCGGCCGCAGTGAGAAGGGGGAACCGTCCCACCTTGTACGTCCCTATCCTTTTACCAAACGAGAACGAAACATTCCTTATCCATCCCTACCTAAATTGCCGACACCTTTCACTCTCTACCCTGTCCCTTTCGACCGTCCTCATACCCATGCATGCCACAGTCGACGGTCCAACTCCTTCTGCGACTGTCATCGCGCCGTCCGCCAGCGTGTCCGTTACGTCCGACTCACCTCCTCCGCCCCCCGCGGTCTCCGGCTCACCAAATGACCCCGGTCCCTCCCCTCTCCGTCGCTTAAAGTCCAAGTCTTCTCTCTGGAGTCTCGGCAGCAGCAATCATAGCGGTCAGGAGGACGACTCCATCCCAGCGGAGCCCTCTAGCGCCGAGAAGGCTGCAGGTGGTAAGCCGGGCATCTTCCGTCGCCTATCGCCCGCGCTCGCGGCCCGCGTGAAGCTACTCGACGGCACCAACAAGGTGACGAGCGCGCCCCGGGATCCCAAAAACGTCGGTCGGATTCCCGAAGAACAGCTCAAGGAGCTGGACAGTCAGCACCAGGACCTGTCGATCAAGGTTAAGAGGCGAGGACAGGCGTGGGCGGGTCCAACGGCTTCTTCTCCGGATCAACAAGCACAGTACTTTAAACGGAGCGCGTCGAACAGGCTCGAGATCCCCAGTCACGATCTTCTACAACGCGCGACTGAGGCACACGCGCAAGGGCTAGACTACGCCGACGCGGTCATCGACGGCCCAGAACCCCCCGTTCTGGCCGCCGCTTACATCCCAGTGCCTGTCCCTGACGCTGAGACCAACCCTTCGCCAGCGACATCATCCATGTCTGTTGCAGAGCCTGCGCCTGCGCCGCTGCGCGTAGAGCCCGCGTCCGGACCCGAACCTTCACCACCCACCGACACCGCCCAAGATACGCGGACGGACTTTGAGAAATATGTCGATGACACGAAACGCAGCGAGGAGCAGTCAGCGGAATCCGCGCCAGCGCCCCCGCCAAAGGACTCTCCGCCCAACTACGCGATCGCCTCTTCTTCTAACTCACAGTCGTATTTCAATCCCATGGGCCTGCAACGAGCCGAATCAATATACTCCTTCTCCCGTGCCTCCTTCAGCAACCAGCTATCCCAGCTCACGTCTATCCCTCTACCACAGCCCGGAGCGCTCGAGACTAGTATAGGAAATATTTCCACGGCGCTCGCGGCCGTGCGAGCGTTGAATGGTGCGGCGGAGCAGATCCAAATTTGGATTAGAAAGGCGTCGGATGTGCTCAGCGGGCTGGATTCCGAGGATGACGTGGAGTGGGCGGCTGCCGGTGGGCGAGAGGGTCTTGATGGGGTGGATAAGGCCATCACTCGGTTCGAGTCGCTGGTGAATGTCTATGTGAAGGCGATCGAGAACGTGCAGCTTCGCGACGATATCGTCAATGTCGGCGCGGAGAGCTTGAAGACAATTGTCAGTCAGATGGAAAGCATCCTGCACAACTGGGCTCAGATTAAGAACAAGCTGCGGGGTGTCAAGGAACAAGTGGAGTTGGCCATGGAATGGGAGGAGCTTTGGTCTAACGTGCTGGGAGACGTGGGCATGGAGATTGACAATCTGAGCGGGATGATTTTCGAGATGGAGGAGAAGCGGCACCATACTCTGATGGATACTGGCGATTCAGCGGGTGGTCTGGATATCAACGAACTCGAGACCATCGTGGAGGAATCTCCGACCAAGGGCCGGTCCCCTGCTACCAATCGTCTGACTATGCTCGCAGCAGCATCCGGGACACCCGTTATCAAGACGCCGCAGGATGACTCTAGTTACTCTAACCTGATGGCCTTGTTTGCGCGCATGCAACCACTTCGGGCATCTTTGGATTTTTTGCCAATGAGACTCTCCATGTTCCAATCGCGGGCCGAGGGCGTCTTCCCAAGTGCCTGTGAGGAGCTCGATGATCGACGAAGCCGGCTGGAGAAGAGCTACAAGGTTCTCGAGGCGGACGCCGAAGCGTTGCGAAAGGAGTTAGGCGAAGACAAGTGGATCATAGTGTTCCGCAACGCGGGAAGTCAGGCGCAGAAGATGTTCGAATCAGTGGAACGGAGTATTTCCAAGTTGCAGGAAGGATTGGAAACCAACGCTCAGGTTCACAATCCAGGCAATATGACCAAGCGGATCGAGAATTACGAGGCCAAGAAGATGCACTATGTTCCTGCTATCGAGCGGGTCATTTCTATTATCCAGAAAGGTGTCAACGACCGCTTGACTGTGAACGGCGAGGTGCTACGACTCTTGTCCGACATGACCTCGCGGACAGATGCCCTCAAAGCTAGTCTTCGGGTGATGGATGCTTCTCTCGAGGATGTGCAGATTGTCAAGGGCCAACAATTGCGTGACTCGATCTCAAGCATCATAACGATGGACAGCCCGGCTACGGGCAGTGCTATTGACACACCTGGGAGCTCCCCTGCTTCGTCAGTTGTCATGAGTGGGAGTGGATACAAGACGCCCATGGGAAGCTCCAGTCGTCGCGAAAGCTCGGTGGGCAGTGCCACGACGCGCTCGACCATGTCAAAGGTCCGTCGATTGTCTGGTCTGCCGCAAGTGACTGCCACCATGACCGGACGCAAGTCTTCTATCCCCAAGCCAACCGCCCCCGTTACCCCCACGCCGGCGACTCGTAAGACCTCTCACATTCCACAACCGTCCACCATTCCGAATCGCCCTCGTTGGAACGCCAGTACCAACTTGAACGACCTACATTCAAGCTCTGGATATTTGAGTGCCACAACGCCGAGCACCTCAAGGAAGAGCTCTGCCCCGGTGTACGGCCGTCCGTCGTCGACAGTACCTTTCCGGCGCGACATGTCTGCATCTCCTGCACCTGGTGCTGGCCGCTCACTCAGCCGTCTGTCGAACCGGCTGGCGTCGTCATCCCGAAGTCCCAACCGCAACGTATCATCCCCCACTCCACCCCGATCCGCTCTGCTCGACCCTCCGCCTTATAGTCGTCTCCGCAGGCCATCTGGTCTCTCTGCTACTCCTCGCAGCCGACAGAGCTTCGCCGGAACGGGCTCGTTTTTCAACCGCAGTTTTTCGTCCCAAGCCCCAGGCTACGAACCACAGGAGAGTCCCACAAAGTCGACGCGTCCGGGGACTGCCCTCGGCCATTCTGGCAGTCGGCGAACCAGTCTCCTGCCCTTGCCCAAGCGATCGGACAAGGGGGGAGCGGCTTCTCAGGCGAAGCTGGCTGCCCGACCACCCTGGAGAGGATAATGGCTACAATCCAGTCTGCCTCCATTGATATCCACCATCCTCCTTACCTTTATACCCTTCTTCTCATCCCTCCCGTGCCTCCTCATCTCTTCTCCATTCAACCTCATTGTCTTGTTCTTTGTTTTTTTTTGTGCATTGTACCCCCGCGCCAAACAGTGTTTCTATAGGTACTGAGCGGGCATTGGCGCCATGATCTTGAGGAATAGGTTTTGCGTGATATCCCCATTGTTGCATGGTATGGTCTGAGCGTTGGGTTCTATCTTACTATTGTTTCGTTATCTTCGGCTTTTTTTAAACCTGCGGTTGCAATTTTTCGATTGATTCTTCTTTGGATTTTCATCTTTCATCCCGTGTGAATATATCTCCTGTAGTTTTATCCTTGGCGAGTTAGGTAATGGAAGATGATCTACCACAACTTATAGACTGAAATTGATACACTTGGAAGTCTGGTTCCTGCATACTCCCGTGAAGCTCTCTGCGTCTTTGTATCCGAGTATCATCATGGGTTTTGTCAATGTCCACTGTAGCTGTCTATGTATACACCATTGCCAGACTTTTCTTCTTGGTTACAATGCAACCGAAATAACATCTAATTCCCCAACTCACGTCCAAAAATCAACGCATCAACCAGCTCCTCACTATTAGCGAGACGTGCCGCCTTAGGAACCCGTCCAATAACGCTGAACCCAAGTCTCTCCCAGATACGGATGGAAGCCGGGTTATTAGCGAAGACCAGGTTGAAGACGGAGTATTTGTATCCCTAGCGAACCCCGCATTAGTCGCTAAACGAGATTGATCGTGTGAGTATAGGGATGGGGCTTCACATACCAGCTTCGGAGCAAATTCTAGATAAGCTTCACCCATCTGCTGGCCAACACCCTTTCCACGTGCTGCGACGGTAGTAAGGAAACCCGCATTGCAGATATGCGAGCAACGGCCTGCAATCATCAGTACAAGCCGCAAGCATATCACTAGTAAGTTCTATTAAAACGATAGGGGGCAGTACTTACCAGGATAATTCGGCTTAATATAAAACGTGCCCAAACAAACCTTTTCCCAATCCCTCCCCTCCTTCAGCCCATCACTCTCATCACCCTCCCCATCCGCATCGAGAACAGCAATAACCGCAAACGTCCCGAACCAATACTCTGCAAATTGCTCCAGCTCCATCGGTTTCTCCATTGGATAAGTGCTACCGCGCTCAATTTCAGCGCTGAATTCCGCATGTAGGAATTTAACCAGGTCCCATGGGATAGTCGACGAGCCACCCGTGATAGGGTAAAGAGTCATGCCCGCATCGGATGCCTTGGGGAGGGTGGTATGACGTGGTAATAGAGTGGATGCGGCGACGGTGTGTGCTGTTGGTGCGGGGATGCGCGAGGAGGGGTCCTCGAGTATGGAGGGCATTTTGAATGATTATGGGGGTATTGGATGGATTTGTGATTGGGATTGTGAGGGGGATGTGTATTAGGTCAGACGTGGCATGCGCCGTAGTTGAGTAATTGGAATTTGTAGGGATTCTGGGTTTTATGTTCGTAGTTGGGAGTCAATTGTCAAGTGAAGGGCGTATCCCACTCTTTGGTTCTATAAAATCGGCTTTTTCTTTGCCGACGTCGGCGCCGGAAGCCGAGATTGGATTATATAAGCTTATTCAAGAGCTATGATTGGTCAGAATAGCAATGGGCATTAAATACCTCGATCTAGGACATGGAATTATGCAGATGAACTGCTAGACAGCTATGAATTTCGGCGTCGGTATCTTAGAGAGGAGCCTTCTTCTGTAGGTCATGTTTCTCAGTTTCATTAGATATAAGAATTCAGACGAGCATGACGCAGATCTAGGGGAAAGATATGTCTGGCACCAGAGTTGACATTACAGGACCATCTCGTTCAAATCGGAGCTTGTGAGATTATAGACAATTACGGAGGATCGAATGGTTACAATTGACCAAGGTAGATCGATTCTACTTGGAGATCTCCTCGAATCATGCTTCATGAGAAGCTTTCTCTTGCTCATAGATATAGTACAGATCAGGTTGTAAGGGCAACTATCGAGTATTGCTTTGCCTTTTCTCAATAGATGTGCTAGGCGTAACAATAATAGACTGGGTGGCGGGCTTCAAGGCCAAACTTGTTCTAGGGAGCAATGAAGGACCTTGCTCGGTAAGCCTCGGCTCGATTCTAGAGAAGCCGATGTCCGACGATGCTCTGGTCCTCGATACCTGGCTTAAGCTCCTCAGAGAAGGTAGATTAGTTCACTCGATTCCATCATTGTTTTCCGCCCTCGCCCTCCCCCTCGCCTTCGCTTTCGGGATTTCTGATGGCCTGCATCAACTCAAAAAGCTGTCCGATTTGTTGATCTGGAGCAGGGTAGCATGTTAGTGACCTAAACCGGGCGACGACCTGTAAGACCCATACCATTCAGCTTGTCCAATTTAGACTTGTCCAATTTCTCTCCGGACCAGTTATCGCCCTCCAATTTTTGCGCGTATAGTTGCCACTCCGTCAAAAATCCGATCTGTAATTGTCCATGTCAGTCACAGCCCGTCAAGCCGAGGACACCACCTCCAATCCCTTCGTCTTCCGGTTATATCACTAATCCGGCATGCTAAAACGTACAATGTGTAGTGGATTCTCCGCAGTCCGATGCGCCCGAAACTCCTTCTTCACGTACGAGTCGCCCAAAACGCGCAGCTCCGGGTCGAGCTTGCGATGCACGCGCAAAATGCGCCGGTAGAGTTGCAATGGGGGGAGGAGGGCGAGAGCTTCGCTGAGACTGGATTTGGAGCCTACTGAGGCTGGCGTTGCCATGAGTAGACGGTGTGCGAGACGCATGGTTGCTGGTTGTCGAGGTTTAAAGAAGCAGAAATGACATAATTTCCTGGGGAACGGGTTGGAGAAGCCGAAAGGCGGCGAGGCGGCGGAGCGAATCGGTGGGTCGCTTGGGCCGAGCGGTTTTTGAGCTTTTTCCTTCAGTGCGAGAATGCAACTTATATCCCGGTCAACGACATAATAAATCGGAGAAGAGACCTTACAGCAGGGCTTGTCAAGAACACCTGCCCAGAATTGCACGCCGGTTGCCAGAACTTGAGATTGTTGGCCTACTTAGGAAATCCGCGTGCAGCGAGCGACCACTTTGGATATCGGAAGGAAAATATCAAAGCTAAAAGAACACCATTTAAAGCACCAAAAAGTTCAGCGAATGCTCAAAAGATGCTACCCACACCGGACACCTCGCATGTCTCCTTCGACACTATTTATGAGCCCGCCGAGGATTCATACCTCTTCCTGGACACACTATCTTCAGCATCCGAGTCCCAGTGGCTATCTGAACGCTTCAAAAAGTCCACAAGCCCATCATCAGACCCATCAGTCAACTCAGTACCTCTGGTCGTAGAGGTGGGCACCGGATCTGGCGTAGTCCTAGCTTTTGCAGCCGCCCAATCACAACATATCTTCGGACGACAAGATATCCTCACATTGGGGGTAGACGTGAACCGGAATGCTTGCATTGCAACCCGAGAAACCGTTGCATCGGCTATAAAGACTGTGCAAAATGATCCAAGTGTGTCTGGTGTAGACTCAAATCTGCACACAGTCCATGCCTCTTCTTTAATCAGTGATCTCTGCTCGGCACTGCGCCCTGGAAGCGTCGACGTCCTTCTTTTCAATCCACCTTATGTTCCAACAGAAGAGCTGCCTCTTCTGCCTACGGAGTCAGAAAATGATCCCTCAACTTCCCAATCTATGTCGCGCTCTGCCAAGTTCGAGAGCGACTCATACTTCTTGTCTCTGACGTATGCGGGTGGCGCAGATGGCATGGAGACGACGAACCGGTTACTGGAGGCTGTTCCTGGCGTCTTGTCTGCCCGTGGTGTCGCTTATGTGCTTCTTTGCAAACAGAATCGACCCGATGAGGTCAAGGAACGGATTCGTGCTTGGGGTGGATGGAATGCCGAGACTGTTGGGTCAAGTGGTATGCAGGCAGGATGGGAGAAACTGGTCATCGTTCGGATTTGGAGACAAGATGCCTCTTAGAAACTTGGATTCGTGGAATATAGAAAGATATAGACATAAATGTTGGCGGCAGCTGCCTCCCAATGGTTCTCCTACACATGCCCAATGCAGCTTGAAAGACTACATACCACGTGATCAACCTCTTACGAAAGGGTCATACTTGAACGCGTTGTCCTACAAAGGCAAACGCACTGACATTTCTCAAATTAGAAGTAGAACGACGGGGGAAGAGAAATAGAATGGAGGTTTGTATTGAGAGGCGTGGTGCCACCCTCCATTGTGGTAATATGCAGGGCTCACGGTAAAGACGGAACTGCAAGCCCACGTTGTATCGCAAGATAACATGATCGTTTCAGTCATCGACATAGGTCTAGTAGCAGAGAACGGCCCCAGGGGCCAAATGCCCCAACGTGCTCTACAATGGTATATGGCCCCTCTTAAAAATGCTTGTTGGCGCCCGATGGTTGCGTAGAATCTGAAAATGTTTACCATAGAATCCTGAAACGAGCCGATTTCCAAGTGCCCTGAAATCGAATCTGTCATCTGTCATTCGATCTGGCAAAGAATCATTACCATACCCAAGTGTGACTCACGCGGAAGTATGACAGGGCAGAGCTCGAAGAGTTTCTTTCCCTATCAGATGCAAGCATTAGCGTCGGATGTATTGTTTGATAATTTATAATTACGGGCACCGACGAAATGAATCCCGTATTTGCATTCGATAAAGTGTATTCTCTCGTTTAGATCGAATCTGACGTAATACCGAGTGAAGTTTCTGGCTAAGTACGGAGTAGTTGGTGGAGATAGGTTCGCTTGACAAGCACATTGAGACGGGTTGACAGTGTCCACAACCCAGTAAGCACTATGTGTACATCTTTAATTGATTGATACCAATAAATGGAAAAAGAAACATTCTTTTTAGTACTCGTCTGACCCTGGGCCAGCACGGTCAAGCTCTTGTCCCTGGCCCCCGTATAGCATCGTATCATCGTATCTGCGGGCCTCTTCGGGAAGAGCCAGGGGTATCGATACTGAGTTAGGAATAATGGCTCAGACTACGTGGCAGCTAGTGTCGCCCCGCAGGAATTAGCCCTGGAGGCCCTTCAAATCAGTAGCGTCGTAATGATCTTGTGCAAGTCAACGTCAAGTTTGCATCAGATCCTGGAAGATTGTGCAAGTCAGACGGGACATGACCTACAACTCACATTCGATAGGTAACTGATTACTCCATACGAGATGCCGAGAAAAGCCCCCATTGGTAAATGCGTTTTGAAGGGAACGAGTTTGAGGCCGGTATTTCCGCGCGGGATTATACGACGAAAGGCCCAAAAGCAGGGCGTCCATGGATAGATATGGTGCGTGTCGGCAGATACGCGCGGTAATCATCCTCAGCGGCAGGAACAATATGCCTATTTAAAAGATTCAGATAACTCGGAGTGAAGGAATCCGAAAAGTGAAAAAGGTGAGACAAATGAACTACTCCACCGGGCTTTACCACAAGGTTTGCGAAAGTGTGATCTTCACACGTCAGCAGAAACGCCAACGCACAAAATTTCGATGCATCCGCTTTTCGGCTCTGAGCCGTTTCAACCATATGATGATCCAGAGAGTTTCTCGGGCTTTGGATAAACAATGATATTGGATCATTTCAGGCCAATATTCCCACTGGACTGACTCGGGATCAAAAGGGCTCCGAACCCTCAACTGCAACAAGGAGACAGCAACAGCCTTATTGATCCGATCTTGCACAAGGCAAGTCTACTAGAATAAACCGGCCAGTAGCAGTTGTAGAATAGCGAAGACTCTTCGCTACCTGCATGAGGGGGGTTCGGTCAAGGGGTATTCTGGGAGCCCCGATTACGGCCTCGGATGAAGGTAATCATTCCCGCATACCACAGACTCCTGGAGAGTGGTAATGAAAATCTTTCAACTGGGTGCTATGTAAAGGAGCCGTTACTTGTGACCGGTCTTAGAATACCATTCTGTTAGTTCATGAATTTCACATGGAAGTCTGATAGGTACGGGCTTAACAAAGGTGGGGGAATATTGGATTATCAGGAGATGACAGTCCTCGTCTACATACCTGTTTCAAGCGTTCCATAATTCTAGCAGGACATGTCATGCTTAGCATACGATGATTCACGAATCTCGTACGCAATCTCAGGCAACTACTGAGCTAGCCTTGGACCCCGAACATTAGTCTGACTAATCACGATTACCTTGAATTATGCCATAAAATATGTGATTTCTCAAGAATTATGTCAAGTGTGTCGCCTATTTCATGGGGTCCCCTGAATTCTCAAATTGCGTAAGCCAGCCAAGCGAACAGATATTGGAAATGGCAAAACGCCTAATTATAGGGTCTTGGCGAAATCATAGTAGCGAATCCTCAACTCGGCTATATCGGGGCATAAACCTGAGACAAGATATCCTCTCGAAAAGGGAAAAAATCCTCTTCTGAACCACGAGGACGATCAACCACCTACGTGAATATACTGGCAGCCCAGGAGCCAAGCTTGGCTGAGGGTCTAAAAGTGGATCATCAACAATCTCTTCCGTATAGGGCAAGTAAAAACTAAAATAGATCGCCCTGACGACCGCACGAACGAACTCGAGGGATGCCTGTTTCAAAATACTGTAGTAGGTCGAACCGATTACTACATACGATTCGGTTGCTGTCAGACGGATCCAATAGCATGGACATTTTGTGGGGCAGACGCGGTCACATCTTTTAGCCCCTACTAATCGTTTCTCAGTCCTCTTGGGGCAAACACTCAGTAGCCTTGCCAATGACCCAGATCAAAGGGGGTGGGCGATGATTCCGAAGCTTCGGAAGGAATGGGGCAGAGGGTGCCGCGGGGCGGAAGGAGCTGGAGATGGAGATGGAAGGAAAGAGTTGACTACAAATTTACTAATATAGTAAGTAGCATATCCAGGATGGTTTGTCCCGGGTATGCTCATCATTCTGTGCAAATCCCGGAGGTCCCACGGTATTGCTGATGTCGATCGCCTGGGGCTGGTCCCTTGTATTTTAATACAACTACTCGTACGAGACTGTCGGCAACTTGGCCCTGCGAATTAGGTCCAATGATACCCGAGAATAGGTTATCTGGAGCTCAGATTAGAGTTACATTGTCGTCACTTCCCCAGAAGCGTACGTTTTCAGGGTAAATTAGGGCAAGCTGCAGCTTTATGCATGTCGTCACGTGTGAGTATTCCACAGTCAGGTGATGGAACAAGTTGGAGATGATAGAGTGGATATGAGACGGAGGCACGGGCGTGCACTTGTAGATCTTCTGCGAGAAAGGGGCACAGGGAGCTGGCATGAAGAGATTTGAGTTTCTCGTATAGCATTATGATTTTTTGTAACCAATGGGTCTCCATCAACTGAAGGCAAGACTGGGCCCTGGGAATCAGGCACAACTCTCGACCATTGTCCATTTGCATACATTATTCCAAGTCGTTTAGACCCAGCGGACTCTTCCTTGCCGTATGATTTTGCCGTAGCCAATGTGATCAGATTCAAGAAAATATGGGCAGTACAAGCCAAGAGAATCGAAGAGAGAAAAAAAATGGGGGCATTGCTTTTTCTATCACCCTCTCAAGTCGGAAAAAAGCCCCGGGGTAACAACAGATGATAGTTCCCATGATCATGCAGATAAAAAACAAAGAACCGAATTTCTCAAAGACATAAAAACGCCGTTCTGTACTCTCAGAAAGAAAGGATGTGCTCATCAACTTAGAAGCCACGACCACGGCCACGGCCACGACCCCGGCCTCGGCCCATGCCACGGCCCCCGCCACGGCCCCCGCGGCCGCGGTCTGCCTCCTTGCGGGCCTTGTTCTTAGGCTTGGGGGCGTCATCCACAAGCAGGGTGTCGAGGGGCAAGCTATCGGGGAGGATATAATAACGAATTGTCGAACCACGGATGTTGATGGTATCCAGAGAGACGGGGTCGCGGCCCTTGGGGGTCATCTTGACGGTTCGGAGGGAGGTGTTCATCTGAGGGGAGACTGATGTGATGGTGCCGTGGAGAATTGTGCCTATAATGAGGGTTTCGTTAGCGTCAGAGCCGGGTCTGGAAGTTCGCGTGCCGCCGCGAGATTGAGGTTGGACGCCGGAGTGAGAAATTCCGAGATGACTGGGCGTACCATTCTTGAGCTCAATAGTCACCGTCTCATTGGCGCATTTCATCAAAAAGCTAGATGGCCGGTTAGTTTAAAGCTTCCAAGAGACATTTCGAAATTCAAGAAGAGCGCGTGTCGCAGCTAATAGCTGGCCACAACCACTCGGTAGGGTGACTGACCGAACGAGCTTCATATTGGATAGACGGACAGCAGTCTTGGAGGGGTGTCAAGTGGTCGATATCAAATCCCAGCAATCAACAGTGTTGGTGGGGATCCTGCGTTGACAATTGCGGTGGATGATGCCGTCGGATTACGATGCAGAGTTGACCAAAGTCATGTGACCGAGCTTCCATTCTCCATCACGTGATTATGTTGCTGGGAGCCCTATCAGAAAGACCTCAGCAATGAACTCGTAACAACAAAAGTATTGAACTGCCTTTTTTTACCCCAGTCGTTGGTTGTCATGATGACTTTCAATTGCGATTTGCAAGTACTTCACTGCACCAGTGTTGAACGCCTTCGGGTATCTGCCCAGTCATGGTGTAGCATTTGCTGGTTGTTCTACCAGCGAATCAGCAATCGGGATCCGACTGTGTATAGGCTGGCTGCCGTCTTTCACATCGATTTCAAGGCAAAATGGGCGCTTAGGTAGCACCTTTTACGCTAAATTGAAGGGGGCCTTCGGAAATCTTCGGCAATGAGTAACTTAGAAAGTTCGTTCAGTTGCCTTGCAGTAAGGATGCGGGCTTATGGTAGTTATTGCGTCTGGTAGTTTGTTATTCTAGCGACCAAGGTTTTGTCTCCATTCAACTACCGGCCAACCAAAAGGCGACACTACGCGCAATTTCCCCAAAAAAGGTCACACCCGCTAGCTGCAAAATCCGTGAGCTACAGAATTCCAGCGAATCATATTATTCCACTGGACTGGCTGGACAGTCCGGTCCCTGCTCCAACCTCCTAACACATCCCTGCCCGCTTAAACACGTGCGTGGCCCGGAACCCTCGCTTTAGATCTCCCAATCGGGGTCCACTTTTTTACATCGTCCCCAAGCAGCACAGTCAACAATCTCCTTCCATACAAGATTCCGGGGAACGGATAAGTCACGACGACTCTGCGATGCATCAAATATTGACTCGCGGCCTCGTGCTTGATACACGGAGGGCGATTGTTCGACCATGACCAGCGGCTCGATGCACGCTCACGCATGCAGCCTATCGAATCAAAAGCCGATGAGGCCTTTCCAAGGTCTTCCATATGAGCCCAACGTGCACAAAGGTGCAGCAGGTCGATACAGTAGACTCCGCCTCAGCCGGGTAGAACCGTCCCCGGGCGATCCAATCAACCATTCGCAGCCTTCCTTTAGGGAGCGAACGATTTGCAATGCACCTGGATGCAAAGACACTTGGCACTTCTAGCACATGGTCGATATGCGGATCTCCGAATAACCCTGAGTGTGGAGTTGCCGATCTAAAAAGTGGTCTTCCGAGCGGGAGTCCTCCCGGACGCGCTGTGGCTCCGGAACTCGCTCAAGACCAAGTCTCGTCTAAGTCGACCTAGTTCGAACTTGCTGGACTCGAGTGGACGACGCGGCGCCATCACATCCCTGCATGTCGGTTTCCAACCATGCCTGAATGGCAATAATGGCTTTCACTGCCTGTTCTTGGCACGTTCCCGGCCAACTGGTTGCTTATTTATTGGTTCCACCTCGGCGTTTTACGGGTGGGCGCAACGAACAATTCCCCCGGCCCCCCGATATAGTAACTGGACCAGCGAGCTTGAGTGGCCCATCCACACAAGGCTAAGACTGCGAACTTCGAAACTAGTCGACCTACCATAGCCCGAATTGAGTTATCCGATTTCCGGCATTCAAACTCTAGCAGTCATGGTTAGAGTGAACCTGCCCCCTGGTTCACCGTACTCAGTTCACAGTTGTTTCGCCGGACTATCACCGACCCTTCCCAAGGTTTCAATTTCTTGAGAGGGTTTTTTTTTTCCCTCTCTCCTATCTGGCGGATCTGACTATTCTCTTTCTAGTATAATACGAAGCTTCTTATATGACCTATGATCTGGTCTTCGTCCTTTCCAACGGCTTTTCAGTGGGGGCCAAAAAGGTACGGAAGCACGATGAACAGAACCCGGCGACAGACCCCGTCAGACTTTCATGATTTTTGTAGCTTATTTAATTTCTCTGGATCGGCGCTTCGAATGGCGGCCTGATTCTATGGAAGTACAATACTGAACTGCCAGCCACAAGAACAAGAGGGTCAGCGTCATGGCCCCCAATTGTCCGCTCTGCCCCATTTACCTCTCTGGGGCTAAGAATCCACTCAAACCAGAGATGGAAGCCCATTTGTGTCGTTCAGGATCAATACACGCATCCTGGCCGCTGGCCACTGGCCAGTGGCCCCAGAGTAGACATCCTCTTTTACCGAACCTATTTTTTTTTTCCCTCTTCTTTTCCAATATAGGCTTTGGCCTAAAAACGGAGGACCTGGTGTCACTTGTGGGGGTCCGAAAGTCAACACGGGACCACTCCTGGCTCGCCCTGATAGACCGATTTCGGCCCACTTGTCGAAGATTATAGGAATCTTACGGCCGCTCTTTCCTCGTCTATGTCGTATGAAATAGGGCAATTAATACAGCATTACCCGCGATAGAAGAACCTAACCGATCAAAAGGGTTAATGAACCATGTTTGCCAGCATAAGTGTGTTTCAGACCATCCGCCTTACCGTTCACTCTTAGTATCCCTGGGTTGCCCGCAAATAACCCACATCGTCATCTTCATCTGCATTGATTTGAAGACGGAGACGTTCGAGAAGCTCCCGTTGTGTTCGGCCTTTCGGGGGTGGGCCATTCTTTACCCAGCATACCCAGTGTCTCTGTACAGATTTTGGTACCTGACTATACTCCTTCCATACCTAATAAAGAACGGGTCCTTCTTCGATTCCTAGAAATTGCGGGGACTTCCCTTTGCGCTGGGCTTAGGAACGCCCTGCTGGAAGATCTGAAGATTTTCTGCTTAGAAAAACTTCTTTCTTGCGCCCGTCAAATAGCCCGGTTGCCATCCTCGGGAAACAAAACCCTCGAGTGTGCCATTAATCGCGTCCCGACTCATCTCGCAAAAGACCGCACTGTATGTTTGTCTCTCTACAGCTTTTTCTCCCTTTTGCATTTTGCGATTCCCGCCCCTCTGCTTAGGCTTTTCTGGCCCCTCCGGCCCCCCTGCTGTTTGATTGTTGTAGTTGTGCGCTACTTAGGTCCACGACCTACAAATCAAATTAGAGATGTCGCCCAGGGACTCAAGCTCACACCTTTCACCTTCTCACCATAGGTGCCAATCCAATTACCTCTCGGCCCCAGCCTCGTTTCCAGGAGTTGAACTCCTCTCCTCGGCGTCCGAGTCATTGCAGGTGCCAGGCTACCAACAACCAGGCTCTCTGCGCATCTCGGGCTCTTGGCCTTTCAATAGTCCTGTGCAAAGCCTTGGAAACGACGCGCAGTCCGCGCAAGCAGTCCCAATCTCCCTAAATCCGGATATCTTGTCTTTATCGTTACATTCAAACGCCAGCCTTGTTGGAACTAATCTCGACCCGGATACGCCACTCCCGAGTCTGGAAAACGAGCAATCTTTCAACATTGTCAACCGCGAAGGGCATTTGACAGACGGCAGCCACCAGTCAGTACTAAATGCTTTGATTATCCATCGTCTAGTACTTTCCGTTGCGATAAACATCTGGTATCTGACCGATTCCTTCACAGAACCCCGGGGATCATACCATACCCTATGTCAGTAGCTTCAGGCTCATACTTCGCTGGCCCGATGCAGCCAGACAACCACCGTAAGTTTGGACGTTAAGCACACAACGATAAATTTCAGGCTAACGGCCCAGCAGCTTATGGTTGGGGCAATCGCTCCTTTCAACCAATGCAGCCTCAGTCAGGCAATATAAACCAGCAATATCCACCATCACAACAGTACCCTCCGGCAGGGTTTCCTGTTGGTTATAACAACCCGCCAGGCGGATCATTACCCAACCATCCACACGACACGCAACAAACCGCTCCATACTTAGCTGCAGCGCCGGGGATCGTTCCTCAACATAACCAAGCTCGAAGGTAGACGGGCTGTTTTCAATCGGGATTCGCTGCGGCCAATTACTGACAATTGGCTTCCCAGTCCACCAGTACAATCAATGGCTCGCCCATTTCACCCTCAATCCGCTCCCGCAACTTTACCTGATCAATCTCTAATACCATCGTGAGTTTGAAGAGATCCGATGAAAGCCAAAACAGTCTAAAGGTGTAGGCTAACACTGACTGGGCGTATAGTTCTTCTCCCTATATGATGAATCAACCCGCCTACTATCTTCCCGAAGCACATCCAGTTCCGTGAGACCACCGTGAACAAGAGTAGAAAACCACTTACTAAATTCCATGAATAGGTCCTCTCATCCGTCCTCCATGAGCCCCCATGCATCTTCGATGGCCCCCGAGCCCGTCTTTTCTTCTCCGCTCCCAGTTCCGACGGGAGAGTCCGGCGATCGCCCCTTACGCGTGGTCAGTTCACGACCTCGACCACAATGCTGGGATCATGGATGCGAGGGACGCGAGTTTTCAACTTTTAGCAACCTGCTTCGACACCAGCGCGAGAAATCCGGCGTCGTCGCCAAGGCAGAGTGCCCTGTCTGCGGAGCCGTGTTCACGCGCACGACGGCGCGCAATATTCATGTTGCGCAAGGCAAGTGCAAGGGTCCAGGGCGAGAATCTTCGGCGGAATAAAAAAAAGGTGCTGGGAGGTATAGTGACTTGGGTATGGAGGTTTTTTTCCTTCTCTTTTTCTTGTATATTGGGTTCTTTAGCTTTTTGTTGCTTCTTTTCCTTTTGTTATTTCTGCGGATGGATACCTGGCAGGGAAAAAAAATTAAATCTCCGTGATAGAGCGGCATTTTGAATGGTTAAAAATCTAACCTATTTCCATTCTAGGATTGGAATTTCTGGATTGACTCTTCGAGGATGTACCAAAGGACCATTTTACGGCTAGATCTAGAAAGATACCACAGTCTTACCGAGTGGACATTACGCGACTAACGAACGACTTGATAGAGGTTTAAGAACTGCATTAACATACATAGCTCCACACAGCCACTTCCAGCGATCAAACCAAGTCATCAGTATTGTCAGTATGACCCGTGAAGTTCCATCAAGGTTGACGATGTTCATACAGTGCAACGTGGGGGGACCCACGTGGTGCCTTAGGCAGCTGCCGCCCACTTGTGACTCAACCCGCCGACTTCAACTGACAATTGCAGCGGAGTCTCAACCTTCACAAACACCAACCTCTAGTCGGCGCAAGAATGCCTGCTTCTGTCTCTACAACTACTACTGTTCGTTTTTGCTGGAAATCTTCTTCGTACCGAATACCTTTATTACCTGTGTGAAATTGTAATCGAAAAGAAGCCATGGCTTCCATCTTCACTTACGATCCCGACCCGCCACGGGTTTCGTCCCCATGGTCGACCTCGGGATCCTCCACTCCAGCCCAAGCCAACCAGGCCAACCAACCCAGCAAAAGTGGACTGGCCATTCGCACGCGATCGAGTTCTACCCTGGACCGCGCTCCAGACTTTCTGTCTGACTATGGCATTACAAAGTTGGAGCCAGAACCGCAGGAGGGTCCTACAGAGTACAAGCTGCACCTGCTCCTCCGCCCGCGACGGCCTTACCTCTCAATGTCAACGGGGAATGTAGTCGCGGGCTCATACCACTCTCGTGTATCTCTCACCCCGGCTTCGTACTCTGCATCACCGGCCCATGATGCAACTCCCCGCCCTATGCAGGCTAAATCGGCCCAGAGCCGCCAACAGCGGCTGCAGGGCCTGACAACGCAGCTGCTCTGGCGTTTGCAACAGTCGTCTCCGTTTCACTCGTCTACGACGGCGAATCTGGTCGTTCCTGTCCTCCCGGAAGCTAGCCCGCAATTAGGTGTCCCTTCTAAGCCTGCCCGCCTGCTTCCGGGCCTGGAAGAGAGCCAGGGAGCTTTGTATGAGATTGGCGTTGCCGATGATGGCACATTTGTAGGTCTCACCGAGGACGAACTCGATGAAAGTCTGACTACCCTGCAAACTATGGCCGCTAGCCTTGGATGCAAGGTCGAGATTCAGCGTCGAGTGATCGTGGGCAAATGCGAATGGGCAGAGGACTCGTTGGTTGTCCCTCCAGACCCGACCAAGTGCCGAAGGGAGAGCCTCTGGGTCGCTGAAGCACTGGTCTCTCCGGACTTGGACTTTTACAACCTGTCCTCTGCCCGTAAGAAAAATACCACCGCGGTTGGCTCCGTGGCGGATGCAGAAGATGAATCGGCTGCAGAGGAAGATTCTTCCAATACTGAGCAGATTCGAATCTCTCTCACTGGACCGAGTGCCTCAGGGAAATCTTCCTTATTAGGGACTTTGACTTCGTCTTCATTAGATAATGGCAGAGGCAGCAGCCGATTAAGCTTGCTGAAACATCGGCATGAGATTTCGTCTGGAGTCACTAGCTCCGTGGCTCAAGAGTTGATTGGATACACAGGAGATGTGCCTCCCACGGTGATCAATTATGCATCTGGGAATGTGGCGGCGTGGGATGACATTCATGCCGCGTCTCGTGGGGGTCGCTTGGCCTTTGTATCGGATCTTCCTGGTTCGGTCCGGTATCTCAAATCCACCTTGCGGGGCCTGGTAAGCTGGGCTCCACACTATGTCATGCTCTGCATTCCCGCCAACTGCGACGATGAGACGGCCGATGCCGAGTCGGGCGCCGAGTCTGCGGGGGAAATCGACCGATGCTTGGCATATCTGGATCTCTGCTTGAAGCTGGAAGTCAACATTATCATCGTCATAACCAAGCTAGATGTCGCTTCCCGAGGCGGTTTGCGTGAGAATCTCGCCAAGGTTTTGTCTGCTCTCAAATCAGCTGGCCGCAAGCCGGCGATGCAGGGAGCATCGCCAGCGGGTGATAGAGTGCTTGATCTACAACATGTAAGCGTGTCCGACAGCAGTGAAGTGCAAAAGAATATCACCGCGGCGGAAGGTCATTGGTCCCGCACGGTGCCCATCGTCCTCGCCAGCGCTGTTGATGGCACTGGGATAGGGAAGCTGCATGCCTTCCTTCGACACCTACCGATTCCCGCTCACCCATCGCAAAGGCGATCCCGTATTGCTCAGTCGCTGCAAAGGCCTGCAACTGTCTTTGACGTCGATGAAGTCTTCGCTATACCGCCATCCAAAGTGTATTCTGCATCCACAGACAAAGAGGGCCGTGAAAGCCGTGGCATGGTTCTCTGTGGCCTTGTCCGCCATGGCAGTATTTCAATCGGTGATGAGATGACCATCGGTCCAATATTAGTTGATACTTCCTCGGATGGTGGCAGTGAACCTGCGCCATTGAGCCTACTCTCTCGTAGTAGTGGACCCGGTCAATCAGGCGAGTTCCCAGCCTCTCTATCCCACGGCGTTTTATCCGGCAAAGATGCCTCAATACAGGCAAAATGGCAGCGCGTTCGCGTCGTCAGTGTCAGAGACCTTCGCCTCCCCGTTCGTCGTCTGAAAGAAGACCAAGTCGGGACAATAGGCATCGAATTACTCGCGTCACCGGATGAGGGGCGCTTACCTCGTCTCGGTCGAATAAGGAAAGGCATGGTGCTTACGGACCTGTACACATCCCTTCACCCGCGCAATTCCCTTCCATCCTCCCTCCCATCAACACTGCCCCTGCCATTCCATACAGGCTTCACAGCGACATTCCCCGCCTCGGAATTCTCAGCTCCGAATTCGCCGCCATTACTCCTGGGCGGGAACGCGATCGCCTATATTGCCAATATCAGGACAACCGTCCGTGTCGTATGCATGGCTCTCGCAGGAACAGGTGACGAGCCAGGCTCCCGCTCGCCCTCGCCATCACCGTCTCCCACCGAACCTGAATTCTTCAGCTTCGATGGCGACACTCAGACCTCGTCTTCGCCTGGGAAGGAGAAAGGTAGCAGTACCAGTCACACAAATGGTATAGATGGTTTTATGCGGGGCCGCCCGTCCGCTATGGATATCAGCAAGGTGGTTGCTGGGACAGGTGATGGTTCTGGTGTCTCTGAGACGTTCAAAGAGGATGTTAAGATTACCTTTGGGCTTGTAACGTCTGTTGAGTGGATCGAGCTCGGCTCGCAGGTCCTGGTTATGCCGGGCATGTCTATGAGTGCTTCTTCTGGGGTCGCTGTTACGCCAGCTCCTAGTTCCGGTGCTGGCAACGCCAGCGGCAGCGGAACTGTGTCGATGTCTGGGTTGGAAGGGTTTGTTGGGACTGTTTGTGAGGTGGTCCCTGGAAGATCTGTGGGGAGTGAGAGTTGACAGAGAGCATGGACATGATTTGAATTTGAGCGATTGTTGACAATATTGCATTAGTCTGGTACTTTGTCCTTTTCATCTTTGGTTTTCTTTTTCTTGGGTAATGCCCGGTTATATCGTGCGTGAGAAGTAATTAGAGTCACGAGTCGTGACACTCGACTATACAGTAGCTTAGGGCAAGTTGGAGGGTTTAGCTACTCTTTTTGATTTATTCTTTCAGATTCATGCTTTCAGATTAATCTTTCAGTCTTCGAGACTTGATTTGTGTGAAACTTAGAGCGGTTATTGGCCACGCAGACCTCTGGAATCTTCTCGGCAGCCGTAAGTGTGTAGGATGAGATGACTATATGAGCAAGTCTTCCAGAGCCACCAGTCTATAAACTACCATGTCAAACATTACAGGGTCAGATGATGTGTATATTTTGAAGCAGCTAGCTTAGTTATGCATTTGAACCACGAGTAAGCCTCGACAGGCCGCAAAATCGCTGCCCTTAACACGGGTAGAAACGGGATCGTCCACCAGTCATGCCAAGTCACCGTGAGCATCAATCACAGTTGAGATCAATTCGCAGATTTGTTATTTCATAGCGTCAAAGGAGGCTTCCATTCACTAGTCGGAGCCCCCCTACGACCTTCACCGTTGCTGGGGGTATTTCCGCAAAGTATCCGTCGAATGGCTAGTGACCATGCTACGCCATGGCCGCCAAAGCGACTCGATAAACCAGATCAAACATGTTGCGGCATACTTCTAGAGTCCCGACATCTAGGAATCGGGAGCATCAAGGTTGACACTTACCCACCCTTGCGCTGGTCACCAGCATTACGGGCGAAAGTGCTGGTCGATCCAATAGTTGCGCTCGCGTTGCGGAGCTCGATCTTCTTGCGCTCCATCTCGAGCTGCAGTATGTTAGTACATGGGGTCACTTTCAAATCTCACTACGAAACGCGTTTGACTTACCACCTTGCGCACTCGAGCCAGTGCGGCCTCATTGCCCTCTACCAACGGACGGCAATCATCAACCCGGTAGGGAGGGCTAATGCTAACCGAATCCGCAACCACGATATGAGGACCATTCCAATGAGCGGGCATAGTCCGACTGAACGCATCGAAAAGATCCTGAGCCTCACGAGTGACGCCCTTTCCACGACGGGCTTCGCGTTCCATCGCCTCGCCAATGGCCTTTGCCTCACGTGCCTTCAGTGCACGGGTATCAAGGGCCTGAATCGAGGGCTGCGCATCGGTGAAGGAGGACACATCGGAGGAGTGAGATGAAGGGAGGGCGAGGAGTTGGAAGGACTGAATACGAGAAACCGGAATGACGTGGTAATCGCCGCTCTGGGCCTGTTTCGCATCTGCGGTTGGTGCCGAGGGGGATGTGTTGATAGCGACGAGATTCGTGATGGGGCATGCGGTGAAGAGCGTACCCTCCAAGGTTGAGGCATTTGGGGCGGCAGTCGTGATGCGAACACTGACACAGCACAGAGTCGTTAGTACGTCTTCGATTGTGGACATGTTCAAAATACACGTTGGATGGAGGGGTAGGGTGTACCGAGCACCAATCGCGCCGCTCAAAGCAGCCTCCAAGGGGACCATATTGGTCGCCATTCCACCTGCAGTCGAAGTACCGGCAGAAG